TTGGCGCGTTTTCGTTCATGTGCGCACNGCTTCATGCACATGCATAGATAGTTCTGGCACTGTTTGTGAACAAAAAGTAAATCCGACCAAGCAAAGGCCCAAAGCAAGCAACCGCATAGCAAATCAAAGGCCGTCACCCGCCACTGCAAACCACAGCACACTGGGACTCTACCGGTTCATCATGTACCGGCCCCTGCTGCTGCTGTCCAGCCACTTCCTCAGTGCGTCAAGGAACGGGAACGTGCCCAGGTCGAACAGGTCCTGGGTAAACATCCGCACACACAATGCTAGGTGCTCGTCCAGGCGGTTGCGGGTGGGGTCCTGCAAGTACCCCATGGCCGAGAACCGCCGCTCATCCTCCACCGACCCTGGCACCATCACTAACACCAGCTGGGCCAAAGCCGAAAGCTGTGTCTGAGCCCGCTTGGCACTGCGAGCGCTCGGGTTGGGCGCCTCGCCGCATTCGTTGTTGTCAAGCTGATTGGGTGACAGCTTGCGCTTATGCTGATCACAACCGCCATGGAAGGCAGGGGTAATGGCGCCCGTGTCATCGGTCGCCGCTGGCAGCAACATTGCCGATGCATTACCGACAACAGCACCGCCGTCCCAAACGCCTTTATCAGGAAAAATTTCAGACTTATCTTGCTGTTTTTGTGTTTGTTCGGCGTTCAAGACGTTGCCTTTTGCGTGTTTGTCTATGGAAGGACCGGTCATACATTCTGCTATGCCGCGTTGACTCACGGGCTTGACCTTCTTACGGCCCCTCATATCTATTTTATGATCGATAATACTAAGTTCTGCACACTACGGAGCAATCTGGCAGCAATGGACGTTTTTGGCTGAAGGAATGAAAATGTACGGATCGGCCTCACTTTGTTCCTTATTTCCAAAGGCCAAAAAGGCCTCTTTATTCCTTAAAAGTAATATATTACTTAAAAAAAAAACACTGCTCCCCTGCTAGAGGGGCACCCTAATCCGTTCACCCCATCCGATTTCAGAATGTATTCGTTGGGTTCAGCAACTCACCACCAGCATACAACCAAATCTAGCGGATCAACGGCTCCTCAAATGTGTATGTATGTATGTAATCCAAGTCATGACGTGGCTCCCCCCATCCCAAGGACGCCCTCATCTCTCACCTTCCTGACGTGGCTCCCCCCGACCGTATTCGCTTACAACTGCGATTGCTTTTCCTGCAGCGTCTTGCACCAGGCCCGACGGATGGTGCATCCACCAAGCAGCAATCCTGCAAACTGTAGACTGTGATGGGGATGGCATGCTGGACGTCATCTGCATGGATAATCAGGGAAGGCGCTGGGCGATTCTCTCATCCAGGGGCTGCAATTCGTCAGTCTATTACCAGGGTGACGCGCCTCTCAGCGTCTGCCCCGGCAAGTTCTTGCCGCCCACGGGCACAGGTATGTATGTATGTATTTATGTATGTGCTGGTAAAGATTTATAGCTTGTACTTGGATATTCTACTTGTATTAAGTGTTTCAAAGGCTACGTAAGTATGTGCGGCCGAATGAACGAAGGGGGAACTTTAATTATTAACATACGGCTTGCTTCCTGTTTCTTCTGCTTGCTTGCTCACCATCGATGCTGCTACAGCTGCCGCAGTCATTCTGGGAGATGCCAGCATGTGGCCTTGGGGCATTCATTGGAGGAATATCCCGTTCCCAGACGAAAACGCCAAATGGATCTGGTACATGGACAGAGCCGACCAAGCCGCTCCCGGCGGCGTCATTTACTGGTTTAACAGGACGTTCAGTATTTCCGGAGATAGCGGGGCCGGGGACATGTCAGCCTTGCTTTACGTCATTGTTGACAATGGCGCACTCCTATACCTGAACGATACTTACATCGGCAACATCACGGGCGGGTGGTTTCAGGCAACTGACCCCATTCCGCTACAGCTGCCCCTCGGCCAGCACCAACTGTCGTTACGCGCCTGGAACAGCCACAGCGGCATGGATCCTGCGGGTCTCCTCGCCACCTTGATCAACAGTAGCGATGGAGTGCCCATTTTGAGGACGGATGACACCTGGACGACTTCTTATTTCGGCGCTGGTAGGTGTTATGATATGTTGATGCGTTCTTGATCATGCATAATTGGGCCATGCATAATATGTTCTTCTCCCTTCATCCTGCCTTCTTCCTGCGCACCAAGTCACAGCACTGTATGATGTGTGGGACAGGGGGTTCATATCTTCACCCTGCGGCCGCTATCCGGCAGACCCTGCCTTCCCCGGTATTTCGGGGCACCCTCATTTTATCACCGTAGCTGACTTCTCAGTGGATCGCACAGGTTCAGCACCCACCACCGGCATCCAACGGTATCTGCCGGATCAACGGTGGCTCAACTCCATTCCTGGTCAGCTCGCAAGGTTAACTTTATCCCAGGTCACCGCCGTCCGTCGAATAGGGGCCCTAGTACCTTCCACCATCGGAAGAATTTTCGACCTCGACCAATCTTGATCCCGGTATCTCCCGGGGGCATTGGTGTGTGCGGTAAAAATAGTGCCTGACCTGTATGCATTCGCAGTGCAACGGTACAGCGGTAGGTACGGCACCCACCAACTGTACGCGTATGCACGATACAACGGAGAATACAGCGCTGCATGTGCGCGGTGGCAACTATTTCATCATGCGTGATAGCCGCAACGGGTTCAGCAGTAGCTGCTCCCCACCTGCTCCCCACCTGCTTTTGAGTTTAACTAACGCTTCATAATGCTGTTGTGCCCGGCCATCTGCCACTTCTTCTCGAGCTGCTGTCTCCCCTTCCTGACTGCTGCCCCCGAACATGTGCACATGCCCGACCACAGAGGGTGACCTGCGAATCATCAGTGGAAGTGGAGGCGCGCCCGGGGGGATCAATGCCACGGAAAGTTCGGGCCTCCTGCAGACGCTATGGAACGGCCGATGGGGAACTCTTATTGACAGCCAATGGGGATTTTTTGCCGCACGTGCAGCATGTCGGCAGCTGGGCTGGACAACGGGGTCTCCGGTACGGAGTGCGGGATCTAAGTACGGCTGGCGCAACGATCCCGTATTCCAAGTGCACTGGAGCTACTACTACTGTCGGTTTGGCAGTGATTACCTGACAACTTGCTGGAATACTCCGGCAGACGATGTGGTTGTTGCAGATGGCGCCAACTACGTCGACACTGCAGGAGTCGAGTGTCGAAATGGTCAGTTATATACCGTGTTATGGCATGGTTAGTTGCCGTTTTTAGCTGCACGCTAGTTGCCGTTGCGTCTGTACGTGAACAGCTTGGTGGCATGAAAAGTCAGGGAGAAAGGTCCTTGTCTTTTACTTGGGAAACCGACGACTCGCACATAACCTCTCATAGTCCTGCCTAGTAATGTAACACTAGCCAATGTAATGTTAGCCCGTCGATGTAGCCCATCCATAAATTATGGCTGGACAAATGCAGATGGAGCCAATCCAGGATTGCCCGGCATTGCTTCCTTCGACACGCTTATATTGTTGAAGTGCATGAATATCACTCATGCAGCTGAGACACACGCCATCCTTGCTTGCAACATCTATATCGTATTCCAGACTAGCCCCTATAAGTGTATATATGTATCCTAAGCATCTATATAGGTCTATATATATCATCACGCAGCAGGCATACATGCACAGCGCGGTTATGCATGCGTTGGATTTTTAATGCTGCACCTGTTATGGGAACATGACGCCCGCAGAGACGGGGCGTGACTTCGACCTGCGAGTGGTAGGTCCTGGCGGTGTTGTCGGTGCCAGCAACGGCACGGTACAAGTGTACTTTGGGGGCACATGGAGTTCCTTGGTGCACTACAATTGGGAGTACCATGATGCACGAGCCGCGTGCCGACAGCTGGGCTGGGAAACCGGTGCTGCGGTGACGTCATCAGGTGCTGTGTACGGTAATCCCGTGGGCCCTGTGTGGCCTATGGGGTTTAATTGCGGCTGGGAGGAGGAGCGGCTTATGGACTGCCCCCGGTGGAACGAGTTAAGCTCTCCGTGGATTACACCAACTGCGGATGACGCCACAACGTTCAACGACACCGCCGGAGTGATTTGTCGCAATGGTGCGTGTACGGCAGCGGGTCGTAGTACTACCAGTCCTTACTTTTCAGGAACAGATATGGACCCGTGAACTGAAGGCAAAGGACGGAATGTCAAGAACGAGGCCCGGGAAATAGCTCACCTAAATCTATGTTTAGATTGGTTTTATGGTCATCAGGGACTGGCCGCGAGATGCTATCCCTCCAAGCCGCCGTGCGTGGGTCTGGAAGCCCACCTGGCCTGTTGTGTAATGTATGCATGTTGTTTATGCGTCATTGCACCTGCAAAGACGCGTTGACGACTTCATTCCGCTCCCACATGTACATTTGTGCTATGTATTAGAATCCGCTGGCGAAGGCGCGCTGCAGCTGGTGGGCAGCGACGTGATGGGTCATGGCACCTTGCAAATCTTCCACTCCGGAAGGTGGGGGGTCATGCACAGCTCATACGTCGATTGGCGCGTTGCAAGGATTGCTTGCCGGGAGCTGGGCTGGACGACAGGGGATCTCGTTCCTGCTGCGGGTGATGTATATGGTGGCGCCTCTGACATCGTTCTCTGGCAAGTATCATTCAACTGCAAGTGGCTGGAACCGCGCTTGGTGGACTGCCCTCGGCAAGAAGATTTTGTGGTACGATTAACAAATAATGAACGATAAGACAATTTAACAGACGATCGTTTCCGTGTGACGGAGATTTTCCTGCAAGTCCTGAGTTACCGTATGCATATGCCTGCCTGCCTGTTTGCTAATTGCAAATTGTTATTCAAGAACTCGTTTAAGATCCCCGGCGGTACTCCTCGGAGGTTATATAACCTGCGTTCCCGCTTTTGTAAACTTTTTGATCACCTACGGATCACACCCTGCTGTAATAGAATGGACGGTCCCCATCCAATATATTCGCACGGCACGAATTATAGAAGAAAAATGTCTTTCCAGACTGTATATATAGGTTGTAACAGGTTATATTAGACAGGGATCGCCCCAATCTATCGTAACAGGTGCAATCTTCAGGCGATAGAATATAATACAGATCTTGCGTGGCAGGTAACTGCTACGGGCGCCGTCGCATGTGCTTTGGAAGCAGTACGCGAACGCAGCAGGTCATCACCTCGCTTTTGTCGCTGTACATGATGTGTACATACCCTTGCAAGGCATGCTCACACTGTATGCAATGTAAAGGACGTGCATGCATGTGTGTAGTATTCTTCGCATATCACGGGATCTGCATCCGCCGATCCGTACATTTTTTAAGTCGTGATGTAACAATGTGCCTGTGCAAGTGACCCCGCGTGCCATCCGTCCCCCATCCCGCACCTGGCCCCGCAGGACTTGGGCCCTGTGCCAGGTGATTTCACTTACTACGCAGGGGTTAAATGCCGCAACGGTGAGTCGAGGGCCGACAGAAATGTTTGGGCCGTCTGTTGCCTCCCGATTTCCTGCAGGGTGGTTCCACTGCCGTTATTTTGCCGAGTGGGGTCACATGCGTGCACACAAATCGAAAAATGATTGATCCCCTTGCACGATTCTCCGTTTGTAGTGAAATGGATGACTAGTGGATAACGCCGCCTCAAACGTTGGCTCGATTAATATTACGTGTGAAGTGCATTGTTAGTTGCGGCTATAGAACCCTGCCTTGCTAATGATATATGGTATTTTATATGGTCAGCATTTTTTCGTTACATATATAAGTTCATACGCACACACCTTCCAACAAAAGGATTAAGTTCTGGTCAGTCAGTTAACCTTGTCGTTACAGTGGTGGCTCTACTTCACCTCACACACACACACCACTCCCGTGTGCGCGTATTTAACCGGCATCGATGTGGACGCGGACGCGTCCACGTCCACATGCGTACGCTTACTGCACTGTAAACTTAGCTCGTTTTCTTGTCTTGAGTAGTTGCCGTACCGCTTAGGGGTCGTCCACGGAGGTTGTGCTTGCTTCCGTGGGAGGGGGGGGCGAGCCTGGTTACCGCTGTAGATTAGGCAGAAGCCGCAGCGGAAACCTGTCAGTACTGACGCTATGAACTCGCGAAATTACTCTTTCCGTCGCACTCCTGCAACTTACTCTAACCCCGTACGGTTCCAGCCGTACGCACCAAAAAGGGAACTAAAGGTAATGAAAACCCCGGGGTTCTTTCCCTTTAGGGGATATCATTCTCTAAAGGGTTATCACACTTTTGGCAATTAGCTAAAGCATACAGATAGCTATTTGTTTAGATTGAGATTATTCAAAATTAGTACGTGGTAAATCTGTTTTTTTATGGGTGATGATTTATTAGGACATTCAAGTCTATTTCACCGAGGCCTCTTGTGAGAGGGATCAGCTCCAACTGAGTACTCTTTGCTTGGTGCTACACCTCTCTCTGACACCAACGACATTCAACGGAATACACTGTAGGCAAAAAGACACAAAAAACCTTGGATTCCTTTTGTTTCATTCAGAAAACCCTACAGTTTATTCATCGCCTGATTTCTGTATATATGCCATGTATGCACGGGTGATGCCACCTTGACAGAAACGGAGGAGGTCCGCCTTGTCGGCGGCAGCAAGCCCGGTGAAGGCATCGTGCAGGTCCTTTACCGGGGCATCTGGGGCTACATTACAATGTATACCTGGTCTTGGTATGGTGGCTGGAGTTGGCGTGAGGCGCGTGTGGTATGTCAGATGCTTGGCTGGACCACTGGCGATACCCTCACTGACCAATCAGCAGGCTTTAACCGAACAGCAACTCCTGGCCCCGTATACAACTTCGCCGGCCACGCATGTGAATGGTGGGAACACAAGCTTGCGGATTGCAGACGGGACAGCGACTATAATGTCTGGATGAATGACGACAGCTTTCTTCCGTATTACTCCCAGCTGGTAGCTTTGGCATGTCGGAATGGTAAGGACACACACTTGTACTTTAGATATGCAGATGCAAAGGTCATGATAACTCTGCATGGGTACTGCTATAAGTATAGAAAAGATTGCACACATAAGGAATGGCTCTTCATTCCGGAAACTCCCTACAGTCTCATGGTCATCTTATCCTTGTTCGCACTTCTTCACGGCGGTACAGGGCAGGGCGTCCGCTGGCAGGGCGACATTCGGGAGTATTTTGCACAGACGAACGGCATGTCGCTAAGGAGGATCTAAATATTCCGCTGGCTGCTGACACCCGTGCATGGGTGATCCGTCAACTCCGCCATCCATATGTGCATGTGGTGACCCCAAAACCTCCAGAAGCGCCATTATTCCTCATTCCTCATGCACATCCCGCCCGGGCACGCGTTCCTGATGATCACTCTTTGTCTGCTCAACCACCATCGCCCACCACCGCGAGCTAGGGCTATCACCGCGCATTTGCTACTGCCCTGGGTGAATACCGTCAATTGCATCCGGATCCCACTATTCACCTCTATCTATTCAACTGTGCCCGAATTTACGCACCATCCTCTTGCCGAATGATAATGTCCAGAGACTGAGGGCCCCGTGGGCGCCATCCGGATTGCTGGGCCAACGGGTAATGCTGGTGTTGTGGAGGTCAGTAGCTATTGCTTCATCAGCTTTCGTTATGGTAATGTGTTTACGTAGTTCCAACAGGGAAACAAGCATATGTGTGATTAAGCAAGGTTCATGCACCCGGAGTTATCGTGATGCTAAGTAACAATCGATGGTTATGCATGGCATTCATATGGACTAGGTACGGCAGGCCTCTCGCCGACCCCATGCATGTATATGGTTTGTCTTTTCAACTGCCTGCTGGCATACCTGCAGGTCTGGTTCAATGGCTCGTGGGGTTACATAAATCAAAATCAGTGGAACTGGCGCTCCACGCGTGTGGCGTGCCGGGAGCTGGGCTTCGTGAGTGGGCGACCAGTGTTGAATGCAGCGCTTGGTCGGAGCCACGGTAAATATATATGGCATATCGCCACCAGCCAGCTGCAGCTAGATGCTAAACCGTATTGCCAATAAAAAATGGTGACACACACAATTGCACACAGGGCAAATTTTCAAAACTTGTACAAAGCTAAATGAAAAGTTTTTATTACGTTTTAGATGAAGAATGATATATTTTGACGAAAATGCTGGCGAGAGCCTTGCTTAAGGAGTCACGCTACTTTCAAGGCGCCAAATATGTTGTAGCATCTGCGAACCAGCGAAGGTGCAAGAAAAGAACGGCTTACGTACCCAAAACATAACACCGCAAGTCTGACCGAACCAGATAGAAATCTCCTCATTCCAACATTATATGTATAGCATGCGTGGCGGGCAGAGGCGCGAGCCCCACATGCCATAGCAATTTCGGCTGCCCTATGTAGGACGTATGTCTTCCAATCCGTTATCTGGCTACGCACTCGCACCTGCATATGCGTTTGCAGGCCGCGGCTGGCTGGGATATGTAACGTGCAAGGGAAATGAGACAAGACTCATGGACTGCGACAAGCCGGGCTTTTACGATCAGGACTATGGTACGGCACAAGCGGGAGTCATATGTTCTGGTAAGATCTCTGGCGAAGACCACATTATCATCCGATTAACAGTTCAACAAGTGTTATTACGTGATCAGCCCGTTTTTCTGCCGTACGAGAGCCGTTTAAACGTAACTCCTAACTTTCGGTTCGTGATAAGCCAAGCATCTTATAAGGCAGCAGTATATATCCGAAAGGAAAAAGGAACACGGCATGTGTCGGGAATTGTCTATATCGTATATGTAGTCAGGGTCATGTGTGTGTGGTTGTTACAGTTGTTACAATGTGGTTGTTACAGTTGTTACAGTGTGGTTGTTACAGGGTCATGGTTGCAGTCTGTAAGTATTCGATCGTCTACAGGTCGTGCCCTGGAATAATAATGTTAGGTAGCATCCACATCTGTGAGAATTTTTTATCGTCAGTCCGACTACACAGTTTAAAATTGATAGGACCGCTGTGAAATCAATGGTACATGTTCGTGGTAAAAAATGGTCCAATCGTGCCATGGTATAATAATAATAGCTAAGCCTTAAAAGATATGGTCTATAGACCCTTCTCTATCGAAGCTTTCTACCGCGCCCTGTCTCAGCACGCACTCTACAGCGTAGAGTTATAGCATTCCCCGTGTATTAACTTAAACAGTGGCGCCCAGGCTTATTACTTAGGTACCATTTTTATATAAGAATGGTACAAGATCTTGCGCTATGTAGCTAATTGTCCCAGCCAACGTCACGTTGGTCTTCCAGTGTAGTATCCAGCGAATCACGGAATCCGTCATCCGCCGATCGGTTCTTTTCTACAAAGAGATCTCTTTGTAGACGTCTAGACGTGATACAACACCCAGCAACGTGTCCCAAGTCCGTCATTATGGCAGATGTACGGCGGTCCAAATGTATAAATCCATTTTTCTCAATTGAAATTCAAATGCAATGGGCGATGGATATGATGATTTGCGGGTGATGCTGTTGGGAATGCGCGCACCTTAGGCATGCGCCTACTCTAGGTTCTGGTAGTTTTCTCCTTTCTTAACTGCTGTACAGATGATGTATTTACGTACACATCATTCATGCCCCGCACCACATGCAGGGGATGAACAAGAGGATGGAACCGTGCGTTTGGTGGGCGGCACTGACGGCAGCAACGGCCAGGTACTTACCTAAACCATATGCATGTGGTTAGGCGCGCACATGACATATAGACACGCATGTCTGTAGAGGTTGTCCGATAACCTGCCTTGGCCTCTCCCTGCCTGTGTTAACAACAGCCCTTGAATGTTAGATAGCTCATGGAAGCACGTCGCAGGTAAGTCGGTAAAAGTTGGTCCATCACAGGCAGACAATAAAGACGGCCACACCTTCTTCATGCAAAGCAAGATGGTTTGCAGGTAGCCTACTGGATATGTGGAGATGGGATTCCATGGGCAATTCAAGTTTCGAAGTTTCCAGTTCCAGTAGTGTTGTAATGGGGGGCGTCATGGCTGATAAACTGTTGGGATTCCGCAACGCAACCTCAGAAGGCATGGCTTGCTTGTGCTTCGATGTAACCTACCAGCGGAGGTCCTCCTGCAGTCCGCCGCCGAGGACATTAGATAGATCTAGACGGACGGACGGACGGACGCTTGTGCCAAGCAGCATCTGCCGGCAGTAATGCTTTCGGACAAATATGCCTATATAAATATACGTGAAAGTAACTATTTATTGTAACGTATACATAGTATTTATTTATAAACAACATGTGTATGTACATAAATAAATATATATATGTATTACATTATTTTAACTAATAAGAAAGCTAAGATTGAACGATTTTATAGTAGATTTATCGTAGCTGAATACTCGTCCTGCTGCTGGTTCACCTGTCCATCTATCCTTAGGCGGGACTCCGTATATTACCTGAATGTGAGTGAAGCAAGCGTATGTGTCGGTTGACTGCTTGCAGGTTGAGATCACCTTCAACGGCACCTGGGGCGCAGCCTGCGGTAGTGGGTTCTTTGATTCTGAAGCCACAGTCGTTTGCAGGTGACGAGCTGCTGTCCTGCTCTGGCGTGTCCATTGTTAACAGCAGTGCACAAAGATGAATGACACCAAGCAGATAATGTACCCACCCAGCCATAGTTGCGAAGGCTTGTGTGTGCTCAGCAGACCATGCACTTACTCCTGCTGTTGCACATGTACTCGGCCCTATTTCTGCATGCACGCAGGCAGCTCGGTTTCAAGGGGATAGGACGGGTGGTTAAGCCCAACCTGTTCCGGCCGGCAACTGCGGCAATTGATTCCACGTATGCACCGTATTACGTTTCTTACAAGGGCTACGGGTGTGGAGGAACGGAGCTATCGCTGCTTGATTGTGTGCCACAACTCCAAGAAGTCGACTACTGCTCCGAGGGCCCTGCCGCCGTGACGTGCAGTGACGGCAAGTTGCAGTTCACATCCAATGAAATGCAACATTTATCTATTATGCATGCATACTGCAGTTGCTGCCAACCCCCTAGTTGCCCTGTTGCGTCTTTATATCTGTCCGTCCCCTGCTTGCTGTCTGTCTAGCTACGTACATGCCCCATGCGGCCATGCATTCCAAGCAAGCTCGCTCACCGGCAGCAGCAGGCAATCTGGCAATTGCAAGAATGACAATTGATGTGAAATCAGATGCGACATACCTGATCTGTTGTACACATCTTTTCGCCAATATACTACTTTCGCCAAAAGAGTGTGCTGTATTAATGTGCTGGAGCCTGCTTGTCTGGCCATCCCGTCTGTTAATAGGAATATGTTTGATAGGTCGTGTGCCCTGGCACCATCCCTATCTAAAGGCACCATCCCTATCTGTAACACGATATAGTTATATATGACGCGATCTATACGCGATAGTTATATATAACGCGATCTATAGACGATATCGATGGAAAAATTTTACGCATGCCTCGCTGCCCCTCCTGCTTCCGTCTAATGATTTCACACATGCGTCTCATTGCTACTTACTTACATCCCTTCTCATGAGTTATATGCTGAACGAGCTCACATCGGCATTTTTTATCGCTTCTCTTAATGTGCGATGAGGCCCGGCTTTAACAATTAGCCCACCCATTTCGACTTCGAGCTTCTCATTCCTTACTAAAAATATTTTTCCTGCGCGTTGTTTGTAACTGCTCGCAGATCCGCCTCCACCTAACGGCACTTTGCGGCTTGTCGGTGGCGACACTGGCCATGGGCTTTTGCAGATTCTCATTAATGACACCTGGGGTGTCGTTCACCAATACGGGTATGCGCGCACGTTTTTCATCCATGGGAGGACACATCAAGCCTAAGAAGATAGTGAAAGCATAATTCTCTCTTCTGCTCTTTTGATGCCCTGCCATGCTGCGCTGTTTTTTTTAGCTGCCGCCTTAGTTGTGCACATACTGGGGATACCACCAATAGATAGGGGCCGTGCGGTTCCTATCTATACAAGGGGATGGCCTATAGGCGTTCAAACAGCTTACTGACGCATGGATGCGTGGAAATTAAATAGTAAACCGTACCGGAGAATTGTATATACCCTGGGGCTGAATGCAAGACTTCAGAGCGCAAATGCGCATTATATGTTATGTTATGTTGTGCATTTTTTATCATCTTTAGATCGTATGTATAGCCTGACATTTTTTTTACCGGGAGCTTCCCTCCGGTATGTCATGCAAGGACCGTCCAAGTTTATGATACTAGGGAACGATCTATAGACGAATAAATAATTCTACATTTTTGGCAGGCGTCGGAGTGCAAAACGTATAACGCATAATGCAGGCCTATTGAAAGCAAGCTGCGTGCCGGTAGTCGGTTCTAAGGACCTCTAAGGACCTTCACCTTGCCAAGTAATAAGTTGCCAGGCAGGCTTGTCCGTGTATGGCTGTGTCCATAGCATGTGCATACATTCGCTCGACGAGCATGGCTGGCTGCTGGACGTCCGGTTCGGTAATGTAGTAGATGGTACATAGTATGGCACATATAGCGTCTACAAATACATCGTCTCCCAAGAAGTTCCGCAATAGTTTTTACTTTGTGATCATGAAACTCAGTACTAAGTTCATATATTGACCTCTTTTGCTGCGCACGTAGTCCTGATTGAAGTGTTGATGTTGTTACAGGGTGGTTAAGCTTCACCAGTGGCCTCCTTCCCGAGGCAATTCCCTGCTCTCCCCTGCTAGTGGGGCACCCTAAGCCATTCACCCCATCCGACTTCAGAGTGTACTCTTTGAGTTTGGCAACTCACCACCAGCATCCAACCAAATCTAGCGGATCAACGGCGCCTCAACTTAGTTCCTGGTCAGCTCGCAAGTTGATTGTATCACGTCCTACACCGTCCACAAGATGGGGGGCCACCTCCCATTTCACCACCTCTCAAACACCCGAGAGGTCGGCAGGCGGATTTGAACCCGGGTCGACCGGGAGCAGAAGTCAGGCCTTAACCTCTGCCAGCCGCCTGCCTGTTTTGTTGTACAACGCCTGCCTGCCTGAAGTGTTGTATGTGCTGCCCGCTGCTCGGCTAGCAGCGCTGCTGGCGTGTCATTATGCATATGTTCGTCCTTCAACACACACTGCTTCCAAATGAACCATCAAGCTTGCTTCATGCAATTTTTCTGTGCCCATTGCCGCATTGGCTGCAGCTTTGATTTTCGGGATGCTCGTGTTGCTTGCAAGCAGTTAGGCTTCACCTCAGGAAAACCTACGGCTTCCTCTGTCTATGGAGGAGGTATGTGCTTGAAACGAGTAATTCGTTAGCACATGGATGCATTTCTGGGGAACATCATGCAGCGCATGTAGCAGCTGGCCGCTGAAAAGGCCTCTCGAGATGCTGGTGGACGCGCTTAGCACGTATTTGTGGACGTTATGTGTGCCGTACTGTGTACCGGCGACTACAGTGTACATACCTTATGCTTTCTGCGTCATTAACTCTCGACAATAATGCATCTCTTATGTATACAGCATACCAGTGTAAGAAGGGTTCAGCTCCCTCGGCATCTCCCTGAGTACTCTTTGCCTGGTGCAACAACATGCAGCTGAGGCATATGTACACACAGCTGCGGCAGCAGAACCTGCTGGGACTCAATGCATGTTTACCTCCGAATAGAAGACCTCTAGATCTGTAATTCCACATCATTCATGCAATTTCCATTGCTTGTCCTCCCTCCAACAGGACTTGACATGCCAATCTTTCTGTCATGGGTGCAATGCATTGGCAATGAGACTCGCCTGCTGGACTGCCCCGCTACTGTGTGGTCCGGTACCTACTCAAAGGGGGGTAACGAACTGTACATTGCCGGAGTAGTATGCTCGTCAGGTGCGAAAACGACGTTCTCTTGCATCAAAAAATGATGGGAAGTGACTGCGAGTGACTGGTTGTAAGCCCTACACCAGATGCAGTTTATCGATGGCTGTATCGTTTTGTCGGTACTGCACGGTATAAGACTTCAGCGATAAAATCACTTAACGCATGAAATTCGTCAGGCAGTCGATGAAAATTAGACAAATTTCAAATTGGAGGCCTGCCAATGTATGTACTACGCAACCTGCAGGGACGTGTTAAATATGTAGAGAGCTTAGAAAGCACACAGAGCACAAAACGATGCATGCATGTACCAATGACTGTAACACTATGTAACATGCACGGAATGGTGTCTACAGCAGGGATTCTGTTTTCATCAGCAGGTTTTCTTGATACCACATGTGGAATGGTTTTCTAGATTCCGCATGTGTATACATGCCCCATTATTGTCGCCCTGGATTTGGATTTTTTATTCTTGCAGAGCCTGAGCCCGAGCCTGGTACTGTGCGCCTAGTCGATGGCCCAGGACCTTGGGCTGGGAGGCTTGAAGTCTGGTTCCAGGGAACGTGGGGTGGTATATGCCACGATGATTACACCTGGACAGGGAATTATTTTACTCGTCAAGCTGCGCGCGTCGTCTGCAGGCAACTCAACTATACAGGAGGAAAGTGAGTATGGCGAATGACGTCGGCGCCTGCTACGTACGGCAGTAGTTGAATTCACGGCGAAACCGCTGTGGATTTGTAGCAGCACGCATGATCATGCGCACTTGTAAAAATATTTTAGGTCTATATTGGATCGTGCTCTAGTACATTTTACTATGGGTGCTCCCTTACTAATTTACCAAAGCTCAATCTATTAGATAGACATTAAAACCATTGCAGGCGCAGTCCGACGATGGACAGTAGTGATGATAGTACAAACAATATCGAGCGGGGATTGCTAACAAGTAAAGTGGGCTGGCGGCCCGCGGGTAGCCCGTGCAGGCGCAATACCGGCACATACACCGATGAGTTGACGTTCGCAGCTCACATTCTAAACCCTACAAGAAGCACTAATATTAATGGCCGTCCGAAGCACGTAACCTTTAACAAAAATGGATCGTTGATTCTGGGTGTGTTCATATATACTTGCAGGGCGGTGGGGCTATCGGTGTATGGTGGTGGTACAGGGTGGGAGAATTCGGACCTGAGGCAACCTTCCTGGATGCAAAATGTTGCCTGTCTGGGCAATGAGACACAGCTGAGCCAATGCAGCTTCAATCGTGCTTCGTTCGAGAACCAATACTGGTGGCGTATCTGCGATGTAGGCATCCAGTGCGATGCCAATCCAGGTATGGCAAGCGGATATAGGCAGGTAAACCCTAAGTCGATAAGGATCACATGTGTACAGCTACCCACACAGCAATGCAAGCAATTTACCAAGGTGTTCCGCAAAACATGCCAGAACAGGCGGGCCTTCTGAGGGTGCTCTATCCTACTTTTAATTATACAGCAAATATAAACGCACAGTCTAAAATATGAGGGCAAGATCTGTAACGCTAATAAATCGCGCTATCTGTAACCAGCTTCACAGGTGCTGGACTTTTTGTCCGCTTTGCATCCGTCCCCTCACTGCGTGCAACGTATCCTTGCAGTCCCGGAGCCAACAGACGGTTCACTTCGCCTGGTGGGCGGACCAGGACCTTGGTCGGGTCGAGTTGAGGTGGCAGTCCATGGGGTGAGCGAGTCAGCAGCAAATCTATTGCATCAAACACACGCACAGTAAGAGCAAGGAAACTGTAGTAGCTGCAACACAGTAAGGCACACATAACAACTACAAATATATACGTATATACGCGCAAAGCGCTTGACCAGCATCTCGAAAGGCCTTTTCAGCGACCAGCTACCCGGTGGGTCGCATGTGGCCATATGTGGTACAGAAACCCACTTTATTATGTAAGTACAGTAGCAGTAGTTGACGAAACAGTAGTACCTGAAGAACGAGATCCCTTACACACAAATGACAATTTCCATGTACTTACTAATGTATATGTACGTACTAATCCGCTTCTTATGTCAATCACCAACAATCGCAGGTCTGGGGAACCTTCTGCAAGTATGGCATAACCAGTGCGGATGCTCAGGTGAGGCTTGATTGTGTAGCTTCCTATTATATGTGCACACATGAAGCTTGCTTACTTGCAGTAGGGTTCCTCTAAAAAGCACATACATACAGGCGCACATACAGGCGCACACGTCTTATACGTCGAGCTGTACAATCCACTATCCGGGAATAAGTTTTGTATATATGCCCTGTACCTGGAGAACGGTAACAACGAAACAAGTAAGGGCACGGTATCTGATGACTTGCGTCTGTAAAGTTGAGGAGTGTCTATAGAACATCTATTATTAGGTCTATTTTATTATCATAAAATCGATCTATAGACCATTTCATACCATAAACCTATATACGATCTTCTTGGTCCTATCTTTATAACGATGGCGTTGTCTATAGACCATAAAAACCTTCCTGATGTGGATGGCAATCATGCCTTCTTGGTTGCAGGTCATCTGTCGCCAGCTTAACTACACGGGAGGCCGTGTAGTGGACAGGCCTGACTTGTACGTATACGGATTACAGAACAGAGGCGTGCCGATTTGGCACGCCAACTTGGGCTGCCTCGGAGACGAGGAATCTGTAAAGGATTGCTCCGGAGGACTGGTGTGGGACAACACAGTCTGTGGGACAGGAGTTCAAGACTGGCAACACCGGGATTGGGGTGCCGCTGTCATCTGCAACGAACATCCGCAAGGTTGGTTTGGTTGGATTGTAACTACCTTCGTTTGTACTTGATTTGTGTCGTCTATAGATCGTGCCCTGCAGAGGTAGTACCTAATCTACCAGCTGGTAGATTAGGTACTACTTCTGTAACATGATTATTGTGTACAGATCGCACCCCTGTATAATAGCTAGATTGGTGGCGATATCTAAAACCCTAACAATCTTACAGAAGTAGGTGTTACATAAGGTATGATAAGCCTAGCTGTCTATAAGCCTAGCTGCAATGTCATCGTGGATTTATAGCAGCAGGCGGACTTCGAAGGCAAACGAAAGCAGGGGCCATTTTTATTCTCTGAACTGCTCCAGACGACCTGTCCATGCATGATTTGACGAGTTATTCCGGAACCCTGCCTCGAGAGTTTCTCTGGTTTTCCACACATGATGAATACCGCCGACAATCTAAGGGATTACCAGGAATGCAGCACACGGAATGGTTTCCAAGTCGCCTTGTGTTTCAATACATTGATGAATCGACGGATCGACTGCTACCATTAACCTGCTGCTGACGTGCAGGGGCCCTTTCGGAACTGGAGGTTGATTCGGGACAACAGGATCCTAACAAACTCGGAGCGTGGCAGGTGCGTTCATACATAGTGGAGGATTCCGGCATCGGCCGCCGCAGGAACTTAATAACGGGAATATATTTTGCTAACATTTTTGGTTGTATGTAGACAGCTGGGCTTACATACTGATGAGTTGCGACTTGCGCGTGATGTATGCATACATACGTACATTTACAAAAATATCTTAAGAGGGATTCACGACGCGGGCAGCAAATAAGACGTCGACGAGTTGCCTATAGGCCCATGTCCATAGTCCAGGGCAACGGAAGGGTTTACCCTGGGGCCGTGTTACCCCTCCTGCTGGGTAGGAACTTACAAGGGGGTTACCAAAGGGCTACCGGGGGTTGAAAGTGGGTAACCCAATCAGTGCCATAAGGCCTTATACATTTAGTTTTGCGTTGGCTGACCAATCGGAGGATTAAGATACCTTCCGCAACCCATGACATGCGTACATACTTGCATACCTGCAGGAACCGATGATATGTCCGGATAGCGCTCTCCCATCCGGCCTATCTCTGAGTGTGGACGCTGCCCCCTTCGAAGGATGGTTGAATGACAGTGCAGGGGTGCTTGGGTTGAGACTGCAGTGCTACATGGTGGGTTGCACAGAGCCTGCAGGGCGCCTATGAACCTACAGTTTCATTGCCTGCATGCTGCTTGCCTGCCTGCAGGCGTATCAACCCTAAAACCCCTACAACACAACATTTTACTGAGCATTATTCCGCATGGGCGTTGAATGAATAATGCGGTTATTTATTTCCCTGATGTCACTCCATGGATTGCACGATTGAAGCCTGTGTGGGATTGTGCAGGATGCAGCGCCGAGATCTCAGGTATCCTCAACTACAGGCTACCCTTACTATTCGGAAGTCTGGCGGCCAAATCGCACATGCGCAACGGCGAATGCATCGTCCTCAGGGCCGAATGCCACCGCAGCGGTGACACTACCGTATTTTATAGGCGCTCGACTGCGGGTGCTTGGTGACGTGGACGATGCGACGGACACTGTCGATGCCTTAGGCGTTACGGACATTGCATTCCGCTGCAGGTGCGTGCCACAGTGTGATGTTTGCCAGCGTACATTAATGCAACCGTCTTAATCTGGTTGCTTAAATTTTACAGACAGACTTGCATGCATGGATAAACGAAGCTTCGTTTATCCATGCATGAAATTGCAAGTCTGTCTGAAAAAATATTTTATCGCCGATAGATAGTGCCCTGATATATAAGATAGGCACCATCCCTATGCATTATACTAGGACACGATCTATAGACAGTAAACAAAAACTCTTCACAGCTACCCTCGTCTGATAGATGTTGCAACGTGCAGACAGATGATTAGGTTTAATTATCGTAACAGCCTAAATGCACGTGTACACGGTAATAGAACTGCGGAATAACGTTTTGATTTGCCGATCGGCGTTGTCTGATGCAGTGGTCAATTGCAAGCAGCCGTACGCGTACTGCTGCGTGTCTGCATAATTTTATCTGTATTTATACAAGCTTGCTATCCGTTTTGCAATTCCTTTAGTCTTAGGTTGTTGTGCACAGGCAATCACTTCGATTTGTCACATCTACATACTGCTGCTTCGTTTCGTTTCGGTGGGGCCGCCGCTGCAGTGGGGCCGCAGCAGGCCAGCTGGGCGCCTACGCAGTCTTCCATGTTTACCATCCGGCTTGCGTATGCGCGCCTATGACTTAAACAGCGTTCCGATTACAAATGTAGCTCATGTAACATGCCCTCCCACAATCATGGGCTAAACAGAAATGTTCAGATATTTGCTTCGCATAGGTTGATTCTTCCCGTCCATCCCGCTTTCCATCCGTACAGTGATGGCAGTGACATAAGCGGCGGCGGCATCGATGAAGGAGTCTGGGGAGAATGGGCGGTATGCCCCAGCGGTACGATTGTATGTGGAGTCACGCTCAGGCTCCGCGGGTGGACCGGTAGCTACAGTTCTAAGGTGTGTAGTCTATCTGTTGCGTCCTTGCGGCCAGCTATGGACGTACCGCAGATGTCGAACAAACTTAGTCAGCTAGCTTGAGCAACAGGTTCATCGGTTGGTTTGCGATGTTATTATACATACCCATGGAGTAGTTTGCCGTTCACGTGGTTAAATAGCCATGACCATCTTGTTAACGTGAGATGTTTGCCATCCTGATTGAAGGCTGACTTGTGCTACTGATGTTGACACTTGGAATGAAACTGGATTCAGTCGACGGCCGCTAAGAAGCAACAGCTGACTGAATTGATGGAGGAATGTGGTCGACAGATGTGACAGATGCTCCCAAACATCAGCCCAAACAGCAGGCAGACTCGGTACAGCCACGTCTCCCTGATTTGCTTGCGTGCTGGACATTTGCAGGGAGTGTACGATGATACCGGAATGACGGGGATGAGACTTTCATGCTGCGCCGTACCTGAAGGTAATAACTTCACATGGCCCCCCATGGCTGCTGCATGTGTTGCGTGATATGGAGTGTTGCCTGTGGTGGTGCTAGTGTGGCTTATCCTGCGTGCGTTTTTCTCTTGCCTTATTTTTCTATTTATTGTTTCTGAAGCTCCCAGTAGCCACGAAACCAGCGGCCAGGTGCATTTAATATATGTGTGTGTATTATATTTTTTTACAGACGCACGGCCAAGGCCCAACTGATGATCTCCACCTTGTATGCCTGCAGGCTTCTCGGCTGTCCAGGGGCTTCGCAGAGTTCGCTTAGTCGGCGCCAACTCCAGCCTGGAGGGCCGTGTGGAGGTCTTCGGGTACGAGGCGCCGGGTGGCGTCTCGCAATGGGGTACCATATATGACGATGGATGGGACGACCTGGCCGCAAACGTGGTATGCCGGTCGCTTGGGTGGCTCACCGGCAGAGCGCTGACATCTTCAGGCTACATATACGGCCAGGGCGGCCTGCCCTTGCTATGGAAGCGTGTGTCGTGCAACGTAAGAAAGTGGATACGTATGCATCATATGTCTATACTCAGCAATCAAATAGGCTGTGAGCATGAGGATTCCGCACTGCTGTATTTGTGTGCCTGGTGCATCGCTAACATCGCATAGAGCCTGTTGTCTCCACGGCCGTCCGACGGCTAAGGCGGCTTCTTGCGTTCAGTATGGTTGCTTATAATTATTTACCGAACTGCAGGGCACTGAACCGTCACTTCACGACTGCACAGTGTCTGATTGGGAGAATCCAACTTATTATTACAGCGGGTACCAAACTGCGGGCGTCATTTGCAGCAACGGTAAGCTGTAATTTTTTCCAAGATATAGTGCTTCACAACAAACGCAAGCGTAAGGCAGGCAAGGTTGCCTGTAAACTGTTAGACATCGCTATGTGATGATGGTGTTGATGGAGAACCGTATGTATGTTACGGCGTGCAATTGTCTTAGCTTGTCACAAGTCTACATAATGTGGCACTACATAGTATTATTCTGACATTCCCTGTGCGATGGTGCCTCAGCTGATGCGACGTACGTACGTACGTATGTACGGTGCCTCGACAGCCAGCCATCGTACCATGCAAGCAAGTACCATGACATACCACGCACTACTAAGCTAATGCAACCCAGCCTAGCCTAGGCCTGTCACTCCACCTTATGATGAAACAAGGTTCCTCCAGCTACTCCCACGTCGAGCTTCATATCGTGACGGAGTCCTCCCAACCCCCATACATTCATGTTATGCAGAACGCCCTCCCGAATGGGGAACTCTACGACTAGTTTCAGCAGACTTAGGCTCACTCGGGTCGGGTCGCGTGGAAATCTACTGGAACGGCACCTGGGGCACAGTCGGCCGCGGATCTACCTGGAATAACCTGGGGGCAACCGTAGTCTGCAGGTAGGCCTACCTGGTGCGTACGTTGGTTGACTTAGCACCGCCGACGTTTTGATAATGAGCCAATTCAACACCCATCAATGCACATGCATACATATGGCAGATTCGCATGGGCTAATCTGCCCATTCGGGGTGGGGGAGGTAGGGGTATCCATGGATGCATGTTTAACGAGAATTATTATGCGTACCTGCTGCCAGTTGCATTCGTGCTTTCATACTTAACTCATGGGGTTACGACATACTGCAGTAGTTGGCCATATTCTCAGTTGGTAGCTGACCTAGCTAACCCTTCCAATGCTACGTAATTACATTTGCAGGTCTCTCGGGTATGAATGGGGCACAGCCGCCGTGGGCTCCGACTTCCTCTCATATCAGATTGTACAGGGGCAGCCCATGATTGTGACTGATGTAGACTGCACGGGAACGGAGACGTCCCTACTAGAATGTCCAAGCTCTGGTCTCGGCCAGCTGTACGGCAACGACTATTCCCAAACAGCGGGAGTTGTTTGCAGGAATGGTATGTCTAATGGGCTGGGAATGGATTATTGCCAATGGCAAGTGTAGTATCCTGGGTGTCACGGGATTGACATCCGCCGATCGGTTCTTTTCCTGCGATAAGACATGATACAACAGCAAGCTAGCGACAGTGTTACAGAGGCACAGAGGGACACATGCAGAGCCAATGTATTGCAAGCCATGGAGTCCTCACGTACCGACGCGCCCTCACGCCATGCGCTTGAATTTCATGTATGAGCTTCTAGGTACTATTATTACGTGCTTTAATGTCCATATGTACGGCGGGGCGTGTGTGGTGCCTCCATTTGTTGCGAGCTGGTAGGTGTGCATATTTTACCAAAGCTCCCACCCAGGACAGCGATTATTGACATTTTTGTGTCGAACTCGTTGCATGGGCAACAGCTTTTTGTCGCAAACTGCTTGCAGATCCGCTACCTATGACTGGATCTGTGAGGCTTTTGTACGGCGCAACACCCGCCGAAGGCCGTTTACAAATTTTCTATAACAACACTTGGGGCTACATCAACGAATTCCCGGAGAGCGGGTGGCAGCCGTATCCTCTTCTTTGGGACGACATGGATTCGACAGTTATATGCCGCACGCTGGGTTTCAGAAGTGGAATCGCCCGTTCGGGCAGAGGATGGAGCGGCAGCTATGAGAATGTGCCGATATGGCTAAGCGGCCTAACGTGCTTCGGCAACGAGACCAGCCTGCTCGATTGCCTTCCCGGTCGAAACAACAACACCTGGTATCGGGGTTCCTGGCAGTATATCTATCGGCCCGCCGGAGTTATTTGCAAGTCAGGTATGTGGGTCGGCACCTGTCTGCCTGCATCGTATTTGTCAGGAATATTTGTAGATAGACAATATTGCTGATGACCATGTACATGTGTCCTTGCTGCTGGCCCGGCAGCCCATCATCGTTGAATGCTTGCTACATGCCAGTTATGCGTGTCGTAAGATCATACACCTTACTTGCTGTATACTGAGCATAATCTTGCGATGAATAATGCACATATGCATTTTTGTGCAATATGACCGTGCCCAGCATATGTCTATTCGATGAACAGGCTTCGTTTGCCCACGCACACCGTGCATGCCCGGTGACGATATTAGGGCAATATTATTAATGCTTTGTGGTGGTCTATCTTCCAACACGCACACCGCATCCGTGCATGGCGAGTCAGCTGCTTGCAAAGAAAACCAATTTCATCCCTTATTTAATGTACCCGCTGCCCATATGCATATGTACGTCCGTTGCGCAGAGAATATCTCGGACGGCCAGCTCCGCCTCTTCGGCAAGATGTCTCCCAACAGAGGCCGCTTGGAAGTAGCGTTTAATGGGGCTTGGGGTGTAGTGGATTCTGGCGGCTGGGGCTGGCCGGAGTCGTTGGTCGCCTGCAGGTCTCTTGGCTACAAAAGTAAGCCTAAACCGCATCAACACCGGAACTAGCCACTCCATTGCAGTACTGTTACGCGGATTGGTATTTAATTCATACTGCGCCGAAGCTACTTCCTTGCTATGCATGGCTGATACGTCTGTAAAATATAGGAGTGTCTCTATCTAGAACTAGAGACACTCCTATAGGATCTGTTCTAGGTCGATATCTAGAATTATACTAGTATAGTACTATGGCCTGACCTACATGTATATCTGTGTATATCATCCCCAAATCATCTACACATCGCCTTTATACTTGTGTTATAATTCGTAATTACAGATGTTCATTTAAACTCGCTACCCTGTGGCAGGCTAAGCAGGGTAATATGGAGGTTAGGGTTAGGGGTTACGGGGTTATCCCTCTAAAAGTGGGTAGGCTATGGGTGAGGCGCAATATTAATCCTCCCTCGTAGCCCCATTGCTACCCCCTGACCACAGGGTAACTACCTTACCCCGGCAGTAGATTGCTTTATCGTCAAGAGACAGCAGGGTCATCGCATAATGTGCAGTATATAGATTCATCATTGTATGGAATGGTCTATAGACCGTGCCATTGAATAATAGATAGGCCTGACAATGTATGGTCCACTAGACCATAGTATAGACGTCTATGATATAGATTAGCGACCAAAATTTTAACAGACTCGCGCCCCATAATTCGGCACGCCACGCCAATTTTTGGTTTTCTTCACGGTTTCAGCATCAGCGTCAAGAGCGGAAGATGCCGGATATGCAATATATATCACCCTTCTCTTCCACACATTATTTCACAATTATTAATATACCCGTGTTGCTACGTAATTTTAATGCCGCCCTAGGGGACGGGCGCATGTGACTTGTGACGCTTGCTATCTACTGGTATGCTATCTGCATATCCCAATGACCTGTCTACAGACCATCAAGCATTTACCGGCCGCGGCGTTGTGACGCAGTACAAATGCCATGGCTTATTTAAGTTTTGCCTTGCTTGTGCAGGCGTTGATTACATGGGCACGGGAATAGGCGAGTCTGACTATCCCAAAGATGCGAACCTTCCTGTTTGGCTTTATGGTGTCAAATGTAATGGGTCGGAGACTTCCCTGTCCGAGTGCAAGGGCGGCACACCTTCCTGGCCTACAGAGCCGATCACATGGTTCGGAGATGCAGTTACTTCTGACAATAGGGTCAACCTTGTCTGCTCCCCCACGGAGCCGCCGCCAGATCTTTCTGTACGGCTTACTGGAGCCCCAGTGCCGTACATGGGCCGATTGGAGGTAGGCCGCAGATTGGCACAGATATCAACCAGGTGCACGGAATTGGGGCACGTGGAACTTTGTTTTCCGATCCGTGTGGCATTCCTTCCTCCCTGCGTGCAGGTCTTTTGGGCAGGAGGCTGGGGAACGTTCGCAAACGATTACAACTATTACAATTACAATATGCGGGGAACCTTTACGCCTGCGGATGCTGCAGTGGCCTGTCGTATGCTCGGTAAGATGTAGAGTAGATAAAAAGTAATTGTAGGGTAGCCCATGCACATATATGAGTACATTAATGGCATGTTATAGCATGGGTTCACCAACTTGAGAGCGGTTCGCACTTGGTTCTTTTTCTTTTGTTTGTGAGTGCGTACACGTGTGTGCGTGTGTGTGACAAGGCTCAAAGCTTTGTAAGCTTAAGCTCACTTAAGCTCACTTTAGTTGTATATATATACATGTATATATATTATATATACAGTCTATGGATCATAAATACGCAACATCATTTTATGTATCGTACGCATGCAGGGTTCGATCCCTTGGACATCAACTCATCATCATCACCGGTTATGCTTGGAAACTCGTTCGGGGTAAGTACTCTTCATCATGACACACTGAAATGCGTACGTACGCGGATATAGCACGAAGCACGAAGTAAGGCCCTATTGGGACTGCAGTAGCCTTCGTTTATATGGTCTATAGTCGTATGTAGTAGCTAGCTGTAAATAGTACGGCACATATATCGTCTATGAATACGCGCTAAGTTGCTCCATAAGCAAGCATCTTACGAGGCATTTTCAGGGCCAAGCTATTATAACACCGAGCCGAGCAGGTATAATAGATGGGCGAATGCATACCGCTTCCCGGTAGAGGATAACCTCGCTTGTGTCTGTGCGGGTATGTCATGTGCCGACAGTGATTTTATACACACATCGACTGTGTCTGGATGCTGCTTGCAGGTGTCGCCGCTGTCTGGAGTGCCAATACACTACTACGTGCCGTCGTGCACTGGAACTGAGCAGTCGCTTTGGGACTGCCCAGGCTATGCGGAGACTGCCGGTCGGTACGACTTCGGCCGCCTAGATCGGAGCGATGATTATATGCATAGGACGGATGTGGGCATCATATGCAAGGCTCCGTCAAATGGTAAGCGAGCGATTGCATGTATGTTGTGTCAGAAGAACATCAAATGACTGGTTTTCTTTTACCATCTCCATCCATTGCCGTGCGGTCTTACGGCACGTCCTGGACCATGCATGTGAAAAGCGTAATAAGGCTGCAAGCCCTCTTAATATCGGGCACCTTGCGGTAATATATTACACTCGCGCAGACATCGCTGCCGTATTTTTACATCTTTTCGTACATCTTTTCGTACATCTTTTAGTACAGATTCATAAGTTTGTTTCTCCGCTGCATTTTTGTCCAAAACTAAGTTGTTCATCATAATTAACAACTCTATAATAATTTATTGTGGAGAACACCAGGCAAACCAGGAATTTAGATACCACGAATACGTCTGTAGCAGGCCTGCTAGGGGCCCGGCGGGCTTGCAAAATTTTCAACTCAAGCATGAGCATGCTTGTGCATCTTATACTTAACGATGCTTGCATTACCAGACTATAACAGCATGTCCGCGCGTGGCCGCCCTCACGCACACGCCTCTTTGCTTCCTTCCAAAGGGACGCCCCCATCACCGCCGCCACCTCCAAGGCCGCCAACAAAACCGCCTAGGCCGCCCAGTCCACCACCGCCAGGACCGCCACCCCCGTCACCGCCCAGTCCCTCGCCTCCGCCTCCGAACCCTCCAAGCCCGCCACCAAATCCGTACCCACCAAGACAACCCAGCCCGCCCCTTCCATCACCGCCACAGCCGCCTAGCCCGCCACCTGTACCTCCAAGCCCACACCCATGTGAGTCACGTGAAAATACACAACGAACGGAATCAGTTCTGTGCATTCCGATAATGCTAACAAATCCGCAGTTAACTACAACGTTGTAGTCCATACCGTCTGTAATACTTTCTCGTGTATAGTTTTACACGGCTGGTGTAACAGGTAGGGTTTACCTGCCTCACCTATTATATTAGGATATGACCAATAGACGATTAAGGACTCTACGGACGACCATCATTTTATTCTATCTGCCATATGCAAGGTTTCGGCGACAATTTCGCACGTGTATTTCGTACATGAGATCAGGATGAATTCGTCTTCCATAAACGCATCATCATACCCCGGGTAGGGTTACGTTTATGGGCATGGGTACATACCCATAAGGTAGTATACTACCTGTAAATAAAGCGCACAAAAACGTTCGTTGTTGCTTTCCAGCTAACTTGCCCCCCAACACGTGCTCTATATTGCCTTGCTCTTTGGTGATTGTATGCACCGACAGTGCCGCCAGCTCCAAGCCCGCCTCCACGGCCGCCACTTCCACCATCTCCCCCTTCACCGCCACCACCACCTGGACCGCGCTTTGAGATTTTAACTGTCGCTCCTAGCCTTCTACCTTTTGCTGGAGGATCTTTAACAGTTTGGGGCCGATTTGATATTGATACGTTTCAAGGGCCGGGAGGGATCCAAGTTCTATTTGTCTGCCTATTTGCCCTGACTGATCCGAATTCGGGATCTCTGCAGCTCTCGAATGTCACGGTAAGTACGTGATGTGTACAGATGCTCAACCGTGTGTAGATATGTATGCATCAAAAATGTGGCTACGGCTAAACGATCATACATAATATGACGTCCCAAATCAGGATACAGGGTTCGTGAAGATAGACCAGCATTGTTAAACAATTAATCCCGCGTGCGTATCGAGCCAAACAAAATAATTTTAATAATTGTTACCAGCCCATTGTCGCTCGCGGCAGGAGCCACGGCTCCTAGATCTTTTGCTTTTTCTGGTTCGTAGTTTCTGCCTTATCGTTTGACATCTTGCGTCGTTGCTTGTGCGGCAGGCGGTGCGGACATCAAATGCCGCTTTGCTCTGCCAAGCGCCTGTGGCTTTAAGCGCGGCGTCCACCTTGCGACTTAACGTTTCACGGACACCTGCACGCCTTGGATACGGGAATGCGTCCGAGACCATATCCTACGGTGCTATAATCACGTAAGATCGGCGTTTTTGCATTTGTCCAGAAAATGCTTTCAGAGAGCGTGCTGTTTTACATGCATGCTTATGCACGCATGCTTACAATCATTTAACTAAAATGCGTACACAGGACGCAAAAGCGGTCCTCTCTGGTTCAGTACGAGAAAAAGTTATCTTTAGAACATCATATATATTTCTATTAGTTTTCAATGCCATCCGCATATGCGGGTTGGTCCTGAACGGAGGATTGCGCAGAAGTCCCGTGTGTAGGTACACGTCTATATATCTATTGCGAAGCAGCAACATCGCAGATAGGTGTCAACCAGCACAGGGGGGGAAAGCAGGTTCAACAACATATACAACATGTCCTTCAGTGCTTGGAGGTTGCATGTGCATTGGTTTCAGGTTTACCATAACGCAACCAAGATTGTTTTACATAGCCACGTAAGGTTTTTTTTACACCCTTCACCTAATTAGAACCGCCTGAACGTCTGCTTTTGCTTCTCCAGGTACTACGGACCCTGCCCCAACGACTGCAGCGATAGAGGCAGTTGCCGGTTTGGTGTTTGCACTTGCTACTCCGGCTGGACCGGCAGCAACTGTGCAACGGAGGTGCCCGTGCTGCGAATCCAGGAAGTCACTGGTAAGCTGTACCACCGCTCTTGGGGTGCAAACCCTAAGATGTCAAGCGTCAGCAGCAGATATCAGCGGTAACCTGCGGTTGAGGAAAGGTCATTTCATGACGCTTGCGATGATGCAACAAAGGCACGAACCTCTGTTTGTGCGCGTATGTGTGTGTATGTGTGTGCGTGTGTATGTTGTGTGTGTGATACTGACTGTGGGCTGCTGGCCAGCCCCAATTGAAAGACCGCCTAAGCTCTCTCTGGAGAGGGGCGCGAGCCTCCTAAGCAGCCGAGAGCCGCAGGTTCACTAGCTCCGCTCTCCTCACCCGGGGGTGGGAAGCGTCCCACGCGCGCATGCTCTCGCGAGTCAAGGCTCCGTCACGCGAGTTTGTATGTGTGTGTCTGTCTGTCTGTTTGTGTGTGTGTGTTGCCCTCCAAAAGTGTAACGCAATGCGAGCCGAGGGCCATGCGAGCCAGGTGACCAAGGGTTAGCCGAAGGCTGTCCAAAATATGCTACTATTGCATCCTCTCGCTCGAACAAAAAGTTATGTCGGAAGTAACCGAACCTGCGCGATGTGTATATACACGTATCGTATGGACCCGCGACTTTGCAAGTAGTCCAAATCATATCATGCTGCGATGTTTTCGGCATCCGCTGTAGCAGGTATCGACATGTTGCTGCGTGCTTGTTACATACATACGTACTGACAGGCGGGGCCCCGGCTGGTGACAAGTTGGTCCTGCTGGAGGGCTCGCGCTGGACAGCTCAACCGCAACTCGCCGTGCCATTACAAGTCACATGGCTCCTCTCCACAAACCTCGCCAGAATCCGCATCAACAGCACATCGGGAGCGATTGAGTGGGCGGCCGCTGAGGTTTGGGACCTGGCCGGCAGCCTTCAGCTGCTAACGATATCTGCTGTGGCGAACGACGGCCGTGTAGCGTCCTTCAGCTTTTATGTAAGGGTCATTCCACTGTTCGGCATTGACGAGCTACGGCTTCAGGAGGGGACGCGTGTTGCTCCGGGAAGCCGTATTACGGTCGTCGGCCGAGTCATCTTGTCGCAGCAAGCAATATACGCGGGTACGCAGTCTGCCGCATGAAACCCTACCTGCACTTCACACACCGAAGATCTTCATTTTACCTTGTTTAATTTGCGTAATAATAAATCCGGAGGGCACAGGGTGCAGATACTGCACAACGCCGCTAGGGGACGGCACCAACGGAATGGGCTCACTGCTGCCTGCTGCTAGTTGCCCTGTTGGGAACTAAAGGGGAACCCCTTTAGTTCCCGTCAGGACTCAGAAAATAAGAAAACCATACGCACCACGGGTCATCAGCTGCTGAGCGGGGTCCTCCACGACAACTCCATTGCGTGCTAAGCAAGCCCTCGTGCAGGACCCTGCGCATGCACAAGAAAGGCCTGAAACAAAGACATATTTTAGCTCGCAATCTTATGCCCCTATAGGAGCCCTATAGGGTACTAATAACCAGTATTAAACGTAGAAGGAACAGCTGTCATTAGCATGCTTCATCAACGGCACGCGCATCCGGTTAAAAATGTCCATCTATGTATGATTTATGTACACATATGTATGTGGTATTCAGGGGCACCCAACGAAACATCGTTAAGCGGTTTGACTGTGCGGATCCTCACCCGCGAACGGAGTGCGGTGGTGGACGGGAGCGTTTCTGAAGGCACCCTGGAAGGCTTCCTTGAGTTGCTCTGCAACACGACGGAGTCGGGCGCTTTCTCCTTTAATTTTCTTGTTCCCAAGAGCTCCAAAGGGTAGGCAGGGCGGGTGACGGTAGGTGGCGAATTCCCGCTCTTTCTGATGGCAGTAAGGGCACAGCAGACCACATGATTCATCAAGTAGTTCGTACATATGGTCGTGGGAAATAAGGGCATAACAAAGCTCAGCGCGTGATCAGGGGCCCGACGATGAAAGGGTTGGGAGCAGTGTTCGACACCCCGTACGGGGCCCGTAAGTTTTTGGCCTTTTTTCGGTATCCCCGTACGGGTCCGTAGGACTTTGCGGTGGCTCCCGTAAAGATTTTGGGGCGCGAAGCGCCCCGTACGGGGCCGCCCCCGAACAGGCCGAAGGCCGGTTACGGTGACTCCCGTAAGGAATTTAAGGATTTATAAGATGCCTTACGGGGCCCTGTAGGGGAGAGGACGGACCATATAAAGGATAAGGCCCCACACTTGGCAGGCATAATTCATATTGCAATATGTAACTACACTTTTCATAATACTTTTATAGCTTCTGGTCTGTAACATCCAGCGATGGCAGACAATAAGAGGCCTTACGGGGCCCTGTAGGGGAGAGGACGGACCATATAAAGGATAAAGCCACACACTTGGCAGGCATAATTCATATTGCAATATTTAACTACACTTTTCATAATACTTTTATAGCTTCCAGTCTATAGCCACTCCTCGCCGATCTCATTTTCGGTCCGAACGCAGGTGGAAAGCCTGCAAGCCAACCTGTTCCCACAAAGAAAGTAGATGATAAGCCTTGCAAAGAAGGTAGGGTAGGGACTCGAAGCTGATTGACAAGAACCGCAGGCCTGAAAGTTGACCGAAAGATTTGTGTTATAGGCAACCCCAATGATGATCCTGAGGAGCTTGGCTCTACGGAGCCCTTGCACTCAGGAGGCTGAGCAGCACTTTCTGGCTCTGCTAGGAATTCACACCGGCTGTTCGAGGTTTAGCCTGATTAGTTGCCGAACGTTTTAAAGGAGTTCAATGTCATGAAGGCACGTCTTGCTTACTACATTTCGCTTAGCAGGGTGACTTGGGAGGCAGCGTGGGTGAGTTTGCGTCCCGAAGCCCATCTCCTTCCGCGTATGATGCGTTTGGCTCAAGTCGCTACAATCCTGCCAACACAGACGGCATGTGTTGAGCGCGGATTTAGCCGGCATCGTATTATTAAGAATCGCCTGACGAACCGGCTAAAGCTGGAAACGGTTGATTCGCTACTTCGTGTGGGCATGTTGGGACCTGCTGCTGATACCGGGGCGAAGCCACTGATTGATCAGGCTGCTGGGATCTACTCGCGTAAGGGTTATACAGGCATTATTCACAAGTTGTTTTCTGACGTTAGCATAATTAATTTGAATCCATACGGAGAGGATGATAACGAGGAGGTTGCGACGGACCCAGAGATTGAAGTACTGGTACAAGCAACATACCCCGCTAGTGACGATGAGGCTTTTAGTGACAGTGACTACGAGACCGACGTAGAACGAGATACCGATGAGTCGTCCGTGGATGAGGATTTTGTTGATGAGGAGGAGGACGCGAAAGAGTAGCAGAAGGGATGGGCGGCCGCGGCGGCCAAGGCGCTTGGCTTTCGCTGAGTGTGCCGTGCCCCCGTGTGTAATGGTTCACGGGAAAATAACATAAATAACGATTTACAGGGCAAAAAAAATGCAAAGTGTCACTTTCCACAGCGTTTTAGCCAAGGACAGTGTCCCCGTAAAGGTTTTGCGGGGTTACGGGGGCCCCCGTAAGGTTTTCGGCCAGTACAGGAGCCTGGTACGGGGGCCCCTCCGTAAGGAAAATTTGGGAGGTACGGGGGATCCCGCAAGTTTCAGGAAAGTCAGTGTCGAACCCTGGTTGGGAGTCGACATTGGCCACCAATATTTTGTTCGCGCAGATATAGGCCTGCAGCAATTATCCGTGTCTCCCGAAACCGTCACTGGCATGGACGGAAAATCGACGAACTGATGTGGGGGCCGTCACTGCCGACGGTGTGCGTGAACTTCCTTGCATCCGCCACCGTCGTCTATAGCTATCTAGTTGTGGCATCTCACATGTGAGCCAAATTGATGATTTGATGTTACACATTTAATCTTTGTGCTTGCCGACGTCCTTCACAATAAATGCAGGCTGCAAGAGATCCTCGCACTACACCCAGCAGTGCGTTTGGACCAAGCCGCGACCGGGGTTTTACCCAACGACTCAGCGGTCTATCTACGAAAACTCGTCTTTTCTATTCCCTTTTTGTACGCATCCGTCAACCGTGATGCCGGTTTCGATGCTCGCTACGCACTGCCCACGCTCCTGCTGGATCCGGGCCGCAGTACGGTTTTGGATCCTGTCGCACGCGTCACGGGCTCCTTAGAGGTAGGTAATTTCCACACAAATAAAAGGCATTGGTGGTGTCACCAGCCGCTGTTGTGAACAACCAGCGGCAGCAGCGTCGATCCGCCGTGTCGCTCGGTCTTTAATTGGTAGATAAATAAATAGTCCATAATGAATAATAATTAATAATGTTCGACAGGGATAAAGTTTGGCCCCATCTACGCTATCATTAAAACTTAGGATTTGTATCATCCATTGGCCTATATTGGCCGTGCTCTGTTCTAATAGTTAGGCACCATCCCTATCTCTTACATTAGGACATGATGTATAAACGATAAAGAATTCATATCCATCTCTGCATAAATACCCTTTCGTCCACTCTTTTCCATTCTAATATTCCTCAGAATTTACCCATGCGTGTGTGCTTCCCGGTTGCCTTGACAGGATCTTGCCTCTCTGGTAGTTACCATTCGCAGTCGACTTGTGTCCTTCAGCGGGCCACTGCCACACCTGCAAGCGAATGCATCTCAGCCCAACATAACTCAAATCACACCTTTATGCGATAACTCGTCATCTTCCGGGGTATCTACATTATGCCGTGGAGTGCAAAATGCGACTGCTCCGACTTCCCCTGGGGCAACTGTCTTGCTACTTGCGCTTCAGACTACTGCAGGCCAGGGCTCCGGTGCGGCCGAGTATGAGGTGAGGAGCGTTTCATCCGGATTAATATCAGTATTTACTTCGATCCCTTAACAATACAACCTCATCGACGCATAAACGTCCGAGTATAGCCCGACGTTAGGGTGTTCAAGCCCAGCATATATCACTGCGTGCGTGTCCAAGCCTATCCACGCCTTCCTATCTACGCAAGCTCTTCAACTCGCTCACAACTCCGGCATTTGCACAACTGCAGTCTATCTATTTATCACATCATCACCACTCTAATTGACTTGCGTTGTCTCATTTGGGTGGTAGTTTCGTTTGTATGATGTGTGAAACAGGGGGGTGTATCTTCGCCCATGGCAGCTACCCTGCGAAACCCTGCCTTCCCCGGTATTTCGGGGCACCCTCATCCAGTCACCCTAGTCAACTTCTCAGTGGATCGCTCAGGTTCCGCACCCACCACCAGCATCCAACGGAATCTGCCGGATCAACGGCGGCCCAACTCCGTTCCTGGTCGGCTCGCAGGTTAACTTTATCTAAGGTCACCACCGTCCATCAACTAGGGGCGCGATACCTTCCACCATCGGAAGGAGTTTTGACCCTAGCGGGTATCGATCCCGGGATCTCCCGGGGGCAATGGTCGCGCGTTACCAGTAGTGCCAAACCCTGTATATTAGTCTCTAGTGCAGTGCACGGCCCGCTGGCCCGCTGGCTCTACTCTTCGTGAGCCTGGAGCCCACTAACAACCACACGTCACCACTGGTGTGGCGCATGCAAGTGATGGTCAGCTGAGTTACCTTGCTTTCCCTGCGTGCCGTACAGCTCGCCATTGATCTAAGGGGAGGCATCAGCGGTGCGGCCGTGACGGTGCTTGTGCGGGTGCTGGTGGATTCTGAGCGGATTGTGCTGACAGCTGACCCGGCTGGACGGCTGGCGGTGGTGCTGCCACCCGGAGGAGCCACCAACGTGCACATAACGATAAAAAATACCGGCAATGTTGCGTCCGGGTGGGTGTCTATCCATACACTTTTAGGATGAGAGATGTTTCGTGAGACGGCTGTTGTATGTAAGGATGTATGTAAGGATGTAAGAGCGTTTTAAGTCCATGAAACGTGCTGCGAGTAGACGGCAGAGATGGACACATTCGAGTCTTTACCCTGCTTGGTTAATCACGGTGCTTTCACTTCATCTAAATTACGGTGTGTAAATGTCTCCTGTACATGAATTTTTTGGGGGTTCCGTTACGGTCTGTACAGGTATTTATTCCTCTTGCTTTGAGGAACCTGGTAACAAAGGAAGGTGATGTGTTTCATGTACGCACTCAGACGACAACTAATACGCGCTAAGTAATTATAACTGGCTCGTGGTCGCAGGCTCTTGCAGCTTCCCCCCGTACCGCCCACATCTTGGTTCTTTCCGCTCACACCGCTGCCACTGGCACCGCTCGCCGCCGGAGCCTCAACCACCTTGGACTTCCGGCTCCTTACTCCGGCGACGGCTCGTCTAGGTGACATTTTCAGTGCCTCTACCGACCTTCGTAGCAGCGACAATCGTGCTTCGGTGACCATCTCGCTGCAGCTGGCGGTGGCTTCGGAGCCCACTGGGGATTTGCAAGTGACGGTGGTAGATGAATACACCGCTTATGACCCGGCAGAACCCAAGGTGGCCGGGGCGAGGCTCCTGGTGCGGTCACAAGATAGCGGAGCCATCATTGGCAGTGGAGTGGTAAGCGAAGGGGCTCGGGTACGCGATACAAGAAAGGCCAGGGAATTCGAATGAGCATTTTTTTGATGTGCCAGCTGCAAGGCTGGCATGGTATTTACGTGCCTGCCTGGCATGTATATCTTCAATCGACAAACTCATGAGACTTACACCCGCTGTACATCGTATCCAATCATAACTAATGCTCGGTTTATGTAAGCGCAGTGCTCGTTTAGCACATGTATCTATCTACAACATGTCTGTCTGTGGCGAACCGAACATTCCTTTCCAGATGTGTACATATTTTCAGCAAGCGGACAGAGTCGGGTTGTTGATAAGTGGTAGTTCATGTAGGAGTTCCTACATCCTGTCTGAAACTAGTTTGGCTAATAAGGCGTCTATTGGCCTAGTTATTAATGTGACTTGAAAGTATCACGCATCCAACTTACATGTCTCCACGTTTGCAAATAAATGGACCATCAAAACGTGCCTGTGACTACTGGACATGCACGTATTGTATGTAGACCAACAGCAGCGGCGTCTTCACCTTCTACAACCTCACTGCGGGCTACACATACAGTGTGGACGCCTTCAGCCCCAACCATACCTCAACTACTCGCACAGTTACCATTACAGGTACGCTTTCAAGGGCTTCAGGACTCCGTATGTATGAGTATGGATGTATCACAAATGAATTTCTTTTCTGCATCGTACGTAGCGGTCAGCCGCCAGCACTCGGCGTTTCATTCATTATGCACGTGCGCTGCTGCTGGTTGCTGGCCGCTTATATGTATGTTGTTACAGGGTGGTAAAGCTTCACCAGCGGCCCCCTTTCCCGAAGCAGTTCCCTGCTCTTCCCTGCGAGATCTCTAGAGGGGCACCCTAATCCGTTCACCCCATCCGACTTCAGAATGTATTCGTTGGGTTCGGCAACTCACCACCAGCATATATATGGATGCGCATCCAACCAAATCTAGCGGATCAACGGCGCCTCAACTTTGTTCCTGGTCAGCTCGCTTATATAATTCTGCTGGGTGCATTTTTTCGTTCATCTTGGGCCTTCAACAGTCTCGCTTGTAATAAAGCCAAAGACAGCTTGCCCATTTTTGGTACTTGCTCCACATGTATATTTCCCACGCACCACACATTGACTCACACGCAGGTGGTATGCGCACATTGCGCATTTTCATGTCGCGGACCGCGGTCCGCGCATCCTTCACTGTCGTGCCGACCACCTTCCAGGAGGAAGTGCAGATTATAGTCAACGTGGAGTACGCAACCTTTGTAAGCGCGTTCGCCGTCATTGCTTAGAATTGAAAGAAAGCTTGGCTTCGTCGTTCGCCAGAAAGGCCATGCGTTCCATACAATGAGAAAGATTTGCGACTGCGTCTATAATTCCAAGCCCCTTAAGATAATGCCCTGATAGGATAGGTACGGACGATCCCTGCTACCTAAAGTATTATTATATGATGACTTATAGACGATAAGAAAATTACAGACGTCGTTGCTTGCAAGGTCGCAATTTTGAATCTCGTGCGCGCATCAGGGCAAAGTGGTTTGGGGCCTGTAGCTTACCTGGCTGGATAGCCCAAGCAAATTCCTTGGGAGGGTCGGAATCCGTCCCCTGCTTGCTGGTGGACATGCGCCATGGTCAAATACAGAGCCCAAGATGTGCGCCGAACGGAAGAAAAGTTGACCCGACCTCTTACCACAGGGGATGGTTCGTGCGGGATCTCGGGAACACTGCTGGAAACATAGGGGACCGCAGGCATTTACCTGCGTGGACAAATCACCAATTGCGAAGAGCGAACCACAACCCTTATATCACGAGCCCCTTAATACGTTTATGCATGGGGTTACTAATCGCTGTCCCTAAGTAGTCTCTTTTTTCCCTGGCCTCGTCCAGTCGTGTGTTAATTCTGCGCTGATCTTCACTTGTGGATAGGAGAAAGCGAAACAGCAAGTCATGTGGTGTATGTAAAGATATCCCATTAATGAGAACCTGTGCTGACGAATTAACTTGTTGCAACTTGCACTAATTTGTACTTCACCTTGTGGAACTGCTTTTCATACTTTTCATTGGTACAGGTGCCCATGCCAGTGGTTCGCTTCGAGCCCGCCTTGCTGTGAGTGAGGATACAGCTTCTAGCTAGTGGGCAGTTGACTGATAACCTGATCCAGTTGGATCACGTATTGCAATACGTGCACCTGCAAATATATGGGTAGGGTTTCATTCCGTGTCCGTCTGTCGGTGCTGCGATTTCCCACGGTACGTGTACCTAACACTCATACATGGGCCGTTCAATATGGATGCCCTCTTAGATAGAGGGTTACGCCATGTTTGGCAACTGTTGTATTATCTAGGTGCGACGCTTTTGGTGCTGCCTGCGGTAACCGAACGAACCCCCACCTAGCTACGAATCGCTCGTTGTTCCCATTTCCCATCCACTTTCAGGTTCACTGAGGACATGGTCGAGAAAGGCTCTTTCACCCTTTCGGTGATCAACACGGGATTGGTAGCGGCATTTAATGCTCGATTGAAGTTGCCAACGGATAGCCCGGTAAGTGACCAAAAAGGGTGCCCAAGTAATAACTTATTGAAGGCAGCTACGTGTCTGTAAAAATAATTATTATAGATCGTGCCATGTAATATATTCCATTTACGGGGACCGTCGGACGTCTTATCTCGTAGGCACAACGTACGTACCATGCGCGCTCGCTTATTGATGCATATGTTTGATTTTATGTGCGCGTTTTCGTAATTATTTTAGTTGTTTGTAATAATTTGTTGATGGCCATGGATGGATTATTGAACTGCTGCAGAGCTTCACCTTGGGGTACCTCGGCGCACGGTGGACCAAGCTGGAAAACGTTACAACCAACGAGACTGCGGACGTCATGATGTATCCTCCCGGGGAAGAGGCCGATCAGGCTTGGTCCCATGGGGGCTCTGTGTCGATCGCTGAGAGCTCAATGGTGCTCTCCATCGGGCGACTGCCGGCCATGAGCCAGCTGGAAATTGACTTGGTGGTTGGGCGCAAAATAATTACCCCTCCACTACTGCTTGGATCAGGTGTGGCCCGGCCCTGTGCAGTGATGGTGATGGGTAAAGCTAGCTTAAGTACAAATCAGCGCTAAGCGAGATGAGCTGGTGGTTGGATGCGGCTGGCTGATAGTTCACTCGGGGAAAGACTCGCTTCTGTATCATGATCAGCAACTGTCCAATATGCGGAGCTCGCCTACAATATGCGCTTAGGATTAGAGCATGCACCACCTTGCAATTGCTTACATGTATACATCAAAACCGCGCATGTAACTTGCATCTTATAGTTTTACCTATAGATAGGTACATGGATGGCTCCGTGTGAAATCCAACAATCGTCCGCCTGTACGGCTGCCTCTGCCTGTGCCCCCTGTCTGTGGCCCCTGTCTGTGGCCCCTGCGTGCCTTCATCAGGATCGCACAGGCGTAGGTCATTGCTGCAGGACACTGGCAAGTGCTGGAGTGGATCCGTTGATTTGGTCTATAGTGACCCCTGCGACGCTAGCAAGGCCTCTGTAACGGGCGGTGCCTCAATTATTAGCAGGTGAGGAGAATGTACGCACATACATGTGTACATACAGTAATATATAGGGTTTGGCACTACTGGTAAGGCGTGACCATTGCCCCCGGGATCTCCCGGGATCGATACCCATTAGGGTCCAAGACCTTCTGATGGTGGAAGGCATTGCGCCCCTAGTTGATGGACGGTGGTGACCTGGGATAAAGTTAACCTGCGAGCCGACCAGGAACGGAGTTGAGCCGCTGTCGACCCGGCAGATTCCGTTGGATGCTGGTGGTGGGTGCGGAACCTGAGCGATCCACTGAGAAGTTGACTCGGGTGACTGGATGAGGGTGCCCCGAAATACCGGGGAAGGCAGGGTTTCGCAGGGTAGCTGTGACGGGCGAAGATACACCCCCCTGTTTCACACATCATACATGTACACATAATACGTGCCACAGGTGCACTGCATGTGGCCCCCCCATATGGGTGCGTGCGGGCAGCTGCTGTTGGACCGTTTGACCCATGCGCATCCATCCAGATCACGGGCTACAATAATATGTCACGACTTTTTCAGAAAAGAACCGAACGGTGGATGCAGGTCCCGTGATAGCCAGGATACTACAAATAGCCTGTGCTTCAAGGGGTCTGAGAAGGCATTGTATGTTTTGACGGGTGATGGTAATAATCTCGGGATTGTATGCATGCATGGTGTTTCGGAGACCAATCTGGCGACAGAGCATTCCCATGTGCACATACGGCTCCCTCCCTCGCAGAGACCCACCCCCCCAGTGTGTCGCATCTTGTTGCGCGGGTGGAGGTATGACGGTCTACATTCCCGCTGGAGGCGACGGACCGAGTGGTGGTGGCGCCTGGTCAGAATATCTAGCTAATGCACCCGCAGGTAATATTTGTGCGCACTATATAGTGCTTCAGACAACGCCATGGCGGCAACACCAAACATGCATATACATAGCTATGTATATGCATGCTCGGCGTTGCCGCCATGCCAACAACGAATATGCCGCGACCCCAGTTGGCTTAGGAACGGTTTATTTGTGTCCGCCAGCCAGCCATATGATGCATTTCTGGATGATCTTCATGCACACTTGTTGCCTCTTGCAGTATGTAGTACGTAGCTGCACATCGTACAGCACACATCTGGTGTACATATAAGCTCTAAGGTGCTCTGCCAGCATCTGTAGAGGCCTTCTCCGCGGCCAGATACCACGCAATGCACAGTTGCCACGCACTTCTCTCGTCCCACCGCCGCCATATGATTAATTATAAGCTGATGTAATGTCTTCCTCTTCTGCAACCCACGTGCCTGCCTTCGGCCATAACCCCCCATCGCGGGCGGACGTGAAGGGCCGGAGCTATGCGACGCGGTGAGTGCGCCATCAGGGCCAAAGGGTCAGCGTGAATAGATCAGCAGGGATGGATCCATATGTCGTCCATGGCCCCCCCGGCTTTTACGGACACACCCGCGCTTGTGTGCGGAACTTGTAACTTGTAACATATCTCCTGTACGTGTTGCAATTAGTGTTGTGCGTGTCTATATATCTGCCGCCTACACGTGATTTTATAAACAGGAAAGAAGGGGCCCGCTCAGCATGCAAGTCGCTATATATATTCGCTACTAATTAGTAGCGTTATAACGCAGTTGGTGGTACATATGCGGCGCTGCTACATTGGGTACACATCTTGCAAGAATGCATGGTTGTGAAGGTTCGCTACGGCGAGCTCAATCATAGCCAAGCGCCTTTTGGCCGCCTGCCTCACCGGTTGGTCGTCTGTGAAATGTTCATCGTCTGTAGATCTTGCCCTGGTATAATATTGAAAGCATTAAAGGCAACACAGCAGCCGGATTATGTCTCCACCGCAGCTCATGCCGCTGACCTCTGCCGCCGGTGTCCATTTGTCCGCCCTCCTGTGACTTCACATGCAGTGTGCTGCTGACTTGCTTGAAATGGGTCTTTGCCTTGCAAAGGACATCACCGAGCCATGGAACAAACCTCTATCCAAAACCATTGACCTCATCTCGGAAGTGTACGACGCATACAAGGCGGTGAGATCACTTTGCCTACATATATTACACTGTTGCCTTGCTTGTTTTGTCTAAGTGTATCACCGTTCTATCAGCTACGACAGCGAGAGTCGCACTTGCACATGTCTCCATTGTCTTAATTTATCCGCCGTCATGATACACACATGCATACATATAATGCGTGATGCTTGTTTCCCATATACTTGCAGGCGGGTGGCGGTCGGCGCTTGCTTTCATACCAGGGCCAGGATCCTGGACAAAGCATGCTTGACAACACGGGTAATACTGACTACAGCAGCAGTCCTAATGGCACTTCAAGAAATAAGCAGCAGAAGAACGGGAAGCCACGCCGCATTGGACCTCCTCTTATGCTGCATCAGTCCGCGTCAGAACGTCCTCATGTAAACGATGGTGGCCACACATATGTGGAGCCTGAAAACACCCTACACAGCAAAGTGGTTACGCATACAGTACAAAAGCAGCAGACGACAGCCCGTCCTATCCAGCAAGACTCGGCGTTCAAAACACAGGAAGAGAAGCAGTCAGCAAAGATGGTGGTCCATGCCGACCCATTCACAATCGCCGGTGGACCCGGTGGCGGCTTCCAGATGCCTCCAACGACTTCCGCTGCTGCGCTGATTGCAACGGCCAGCGGCCAGCGGCCTCGTTCTACTGACATGCTGGGCCAAAGACGCGTCCTAGGAGTCATAGGAACAGCTGCAGGCGGAGGGATAAGTGGGCCTGGATCGCTCGTTGTGGTAGGTGGGGTGCCCTGTGCTGGTGTTGCATTACTTGCTTCTTGCAAGCTCATAGCTGCTGAGCACTTGGCGGATTACCTTCAAGCTCGGGTCGATTTGCGAATAAGCAAATTATGTGTTTCGTACATATAGCAGCTACCAGCATGCACTGCATATGTCTGTATAGCTGGAAAGTATTTATCAATACCAGACCATTTGTTTTCAGGTCTATCTATTACACCATGGCACGGTCTGTATATAGACCATTCTATACAATATACAATCAATCTATGTACGCTCTATTTCTTGGTCGTATCTAACATACGACGACCCTGCCTATAGACCATAAAAAATTTACCGGCGCATGGCTGGCACACGAGCGCTTGTACGCGAATGGCGCGCCCTGGGGAAGCCGCATGTATAATTACTACAATACAGATCATACGTATTCCGCCTTTTTTTCGATAGCTTCGCAGTTTGGGAGTTTTTCACCTTAATTGCTTACATACGTATACGTATCACGTTCTGGATCCTACCTGTTTGCGTACCCGTATCCCGTTGCGCAGGAAATCCTAAAGGACAAGGTGCGGTTTGTAACGCGCTGTGGCAATTGGGGGCTTCGAGTCTAGGGGTGGGCGGCTACGTACATACTGGCCGCGAATCGGAGGCCTTGTTTTCTTATGGCGGTAAAGCGGAATCTCTTGCATGTACTGGCACCCTCGTTGACGTTACAAGCTTCATGTACTAATAGATTTCTTGACAAATGCAATAATTGAGCCGCTATTTTGTCGTAAGCAAACACGCAATCCACGCATTACGATAATACGCGTTGCATACATATGTATGCATGCATGCACAACAGGCACGCATGATTACTTCAGGTGCGCAATGACACTGTGGGTCCTAATTATTATGGGCGTTGGTTCACACACGTACCTACCTAAGCTGGACCGCATTTGGGACCCGAGCAGGGGCTCCCAGTGAAACGGCCTTGGTCCACTCCTTACTGCTGCTGTCTTTCTAACTTGCCTTGACGTGGCATTTAACGAGCAGGTCGTTGGCAGCATTCCATACTACGGCTGCATACTCAACCCTGCGCTTGAATGCCTGGGCTTCTGGGACGCTGTCGGTGAGTTGATGCATATTGGCTTAACCGGCAGTAACCACCTGTGAATGAGATGCGTTGTGTATGCTTGTGAGTCCTTGTGTAATCCTATTTGCATACGGAGTATTGCTGCGCAACGAACAACGGCACCCACCAACTTGCGGCTTGCTAACATTGGTAAAGTCGAATGCATAGGGTTGAAGCTGTATCCGCACCCGCACCCGCACCCGCACCCACCCTCCGTGCGCAGAGGACAAGGTTGACAACCTCCTTGGACCTCTAGGAGGGTCTCCAGGGGGGGCCGGAGGGGGGGGCTCCTCATCCGGGAGGTGAGTGGTGTGGGCCAATAGGTTTTCTAATCCAGGCTTTTCAAACCGCACCAACGTAAGTCTAAAATCCCATCCAGGACGGATCGTCGTCGGCGAAATGTTGTATGGTCTACAGCTGTAGACATTGTCATCGTATAGATAGGATCAAGAAATAGATCGTACATAGACTCGTTGTATAGCATGGTCCATATAATCGTGCCATGATATAAGGGGTAGGCCTGAAAGTAGATAGCTTATGGACGCTACTCAATTTTACAGACGGTGGACGTGCTGCTTAATATAGCATGTGTTAATGATCAGTCTGTATCCTGGTCAAAGCACTACGACGGCGTGACGTGTGAGGCCCCTTCATTTCGATGGATAGATGGATCTACTGCGTGCCTACACAAGCACGGTCACCTTGCAACATTCCATCCGCTGTGCCTGAACCGCTCCCACAACCGCAGGCGGCGCGCCCGGAGCTTGATGTCAGCAGGGTCTATGGAGCATTTGCTAATGCCTGTTGAGGCAATCCCAGAAGATCCATCACTGTCGATACCTTTGATATGGAGCAACCCCCGGTTATACAAGCGCGGCAAGGGTGTTAATGAGGAGGGCCATAACCTGATGGCATATGGAAGCAGCAGATCGTTACAGAGTGTCGGCGGCAGGAGGCAATTGATGGGCAGCATGGCCCTCCCAATAAGCAGAAGCACCATACTCGATACGCCCAGAGGTCAGTGTTTTGAGCACGAAGATCATGCTGTCCAGCACTACTAAAGCTGCATACAGCTGCATGTATGAAAGGAATAAAAGGCAAGATCTAGATCTAACAACCTACTAACAACGTACCAATTAGCTCAAACAAATGCCCCTTGCTATGAATACTTACTATATGCTTGAGCAACAGGAATGTATCTTGCTTCTTTGCGAGCCGCAGGCAAAGCTATTATCCGTTGGGCAACTGCTGCCTTGGCCTTGTACTCTGCGGGAGCTGGCATGTGGGGTCGAGAGCATGCTATGTAAGTGGTGTTCAAGCCTGCGTGATAGCAGTTGCATAGCGCGCGCGGTACCCACTACGCTGTTGCTACACTTCTTGCTTACACACGTAACAACATATGTTGTTCGTTGTTTGGTGAGGTTGGCATGATTGTTCTGCTGATGACCAGGATTATTGGGCGAGGCCGTAATGCTCTCGAGAGCTCCTGGAGTACACGTCTGTAAATTGGGGCAATCTGTGTAGGCCATACGTTTCAAAGCCTAGTTGTTATACAATAGCACGATCTATAGACCTTACACACATTGACGCATACACACATTGCGCAAGCAAGCTTGCCCCGTGCCGCTTGGCTTGCTGTGTGCACACAGGACCTGGCTCACGGCGAGCTACCCTATAGACCTGGAAGCCGAATGGCAAGCTGCATGGAGCAATGCCACATCGGATACGTCCCCGTCTGGTGTTGTCGTGGACGGGATACTGGAGGGCCCTGCTTTGCTAAGCGACCACTTTGCACCACTTGTGTCAAGAGAAGCGCGGGAGATGCTCTTGTCAAGGTAAAGCCGCCGCAGGCCTGCAGGATGCTGTGTCTATAAAGGAATATGCGGGGGAAGGAAGCTTTTGGTTAAGAAATGACTGTATCTGATCAGATCTGATCATGATCATCTGCCCGCTCCCACCTCCATTGTCACATCTGTGCTTGCTGAGTACGTGTTTTGCATCAAACAGCGCAATTTATGTATTTATCGCATCAACCGGTTGACAGTTGGGAATGTGTATGGGTATTTTAAGGTGTCATGTGTGCTACCTACGTATGTACCTACCTACCTACCTACCTACCCACCTGCGTACCTACCTACCTGTCTCGATACACGCTGTTGAAATGGAGAATGCATGACATTTTTATACAACCGTTGCTGTGGCTGATGTATCTTTCCCGGTACACGTAGGTGGAATTTGACCTTCACCAGTGTCGTCGCAGCTAACAGCAGTGAGGGTGTCAGCAGCAACAGCAGTAGCAGCAACAACACCGCTGTTGAGCCCATTGACCTGGACCTGGTACACCGAGCTCAACTGCTGTACTTGAATGAGACTCTTGCGGCGCTCCAGGAAGGCTACACAAGTGAGCTAGCTGTTGAGGACTTTCTAAATAGGCACCTTGCTACGTGAACATCGGTAACGTGTCGGTAGTCTGAAAGTTAAGGCCGTTGGACTTATATGCAAAGTCGAAGCAATCCTTGCACGCGTGAACCTTTATTGCCGACCCCTGCCCGCTGGCTGGCTTATCACTATCGCCTTCCCAGTTGCAGTTTATTGCTTCCTAGGACAATCCCCCTCTGCATGCATGACGAGGAACTTGCGTCCTTGCTTCCTTGGTTCCTTAGTTCCTTGCTTCCCCACCTAAGAAGCAAATGCGCACACTGAGCTGTGTACGTCTGTATGTGTGTCTGTATGCAGGTGTGTTTGACGCGTTGGATCAGAGCATTAATATGGTGGTGGCAATGCAGATTGCTGGCTCTTCGGGCGGTGGAACTTGTGCACGTGTGGTTGTGCAGCTTAGCCAGCGGCTAGTCCTCACACGCCAAGCCTTCGAGGCATCCCTAGTCCTCGATAACACCGACGGCCTCAACGAGCTCACCAACGTCACAGTGCAGCTTACGGCGTGGCTCAAAGAGAACGGCACAGCTGCAGGACAGGCCTTTGCTATCGGGCAACCAGCTATAGATGTGCGTACAATAATACGTTATAACATATGTATATATGTGCGTGTGTTGCACCTTCTGGAGCTGCGTTACCCTCCAAAGGTGTAACAAAGAGGGGGCCCATGGGCCGAAGGCTGTCCATTATGCAGATATCAGAATACGCACAGGGAAAAAATAATCCTATCAACACATGGAAATTTATGCCAGGTCTAATAACTGTGCTAAATTTCAGGACAGCTATGATACAGCAGTGTGCCTGCTATTAGAGACCCTCCTTAGCCAGCAGATACTGGTCGCTGTACATGTGTAGAACGGACAGCTGCCTGGTTTCCGTAAAACAGTTATGTATGCATGTTTTCCCTTCACTTTGTATCCCTATGTGTACGAGGATGCCTGTATGTCAGGTCTGTCTGTTACCCCAGTAATTTAAAATCCTGCGATGTATTTGTACACGATGATATATAAAAAGGTCCTACCATGCATCCTACCTACCTGTCACACAACCATTAACGCACGCAGGGTCTTGAGAGCCGCATCGATGACGATGGCCTGGTTCTCCCTGCCGGGGCCTCCGGCACGTTGAGGTGGCTGCTGGTGCCTAGGGAGGCAGCAGCACTGAAGGCCGATGTCTGGTACTACATTGGCGGAACAGTCACGTGAGTTTATGCAAGGCGTGTAGATAGCGTGTGCGTTAGCTTTATGTTAATATTACTATCTGTAGGTTATTGTTTTTGTTATGATGACCTACAAGTGTGCATGAAGCGGGCGGTAGTATGCTTGGAAACACGGGACAATAGCTCGAGCGCTGTAGTGGGGGTGCTTCCCCACATATATAAATATACATGTTATAAGATTTAATATAACATTTTGTATGTTCATTAATTATATACTATTATTATTTGTTACTATTTGTTATGTATTATTATTATTATTATTATTATTATTATTACTACTACTATTTAAAATAGTTTTTGCGGTAGTGTGCCCGCACCCGGCCATGAAGCCTATCTTTCGTTAGTTGCAAGTGTTTCCAGTTTGTAACGGATACTTCCCATGAAGACATATGAGCACTGTTGGTGAGGTCTATTTAATTGCACATGCTCAGTTTGGTGTATTATTTGTCTAGCGGCTATGCTTACGTAGGCAAAACAGGAAATAATTCGGAATGCTTCGTTCGTGCTTCTAATCATCCATGTACTCGCTAACGCGTCCCATCGGTCCTTGCGGGTGCGTGGGTCCGTGCCGTACATCAGTTACACTCCAGGCCCTGGGCTACCCGCGGAGGTCATTCCTCTGGAGCCAGCTGACGTACGAGTGACCCCTGAGGGCCGACTGAATGTCCGTTACTACATCGAAAAAGATGTCCAGGTCGGTACGGCAATATGTAATATGTACTGGTCACAGATGAACTTCGTCTATCTGTAAGAAAATTGTGGTTGTCTATTGATCGTGCCCTGGTATATTAAATCGGGACGACGGTCCCTATCTATTATATTAGTAGGACACCATCTGTAGACGATAAAAAACGATACAGACAAAAAGGAGTTTGAGTCAGTCAGCTGTGCCGGCAGATTCGTGATCCCCTCTGACACCCGAGAAGTAGATTGATAAATTGGTGACCTATACCTGCACTATATATATAAGTAAGAGAGGAAAAGCGCCTGGCCACAGACCCTCGTGTCGTATTGTCGTATTGGTAGCTACATGAGCATTGCTTTACTCTCCAGCATGCACGCGTACGCAAAGTACGTACGCACGCAAAGTACGTACGCACGCAAAGTACGTACGCACGCAAAGTACGTACGCAAAGTAAATCGACTTTCCGTCAATGCTTGGAAGAATGACGAGTTTGTCATCATGTAATACCTCAACTTCAGAAAAGTAACGATCGGCGGATGCAAATCCCGTGGTTAGCCCAGGATACTATCCTGGGATACTATCCTGTAGTATGATACTACACATCAGTAACACCATGATAACTCAGCAGCAAGCAAGGCTCAAGGTCCGGCTGTTCAAGAAGTTGCTTTAGAGCAGCCGTAGAGCGTCTGTAAAATTCTTTATCGTATATAGGTTGCACCCTGACATAAGAGATAATGACGGCCCTTATTCGATATTCTAGGGCACAATTAAATTATACAGACGAGCTCTTGCAAACGATGTCATAAATTGATGCGCAGGGCGACAACCCCTTTACCGCTGAAATCGAGCCCGTCGTGCCGGCCGTGCTGGCAACGCTCTTGCTCAATGTGGGTGGCGGCGTGGCGAAGGATGTGGTGATGGACTCCCTGCAGCCTCAGATTATGGACAACGAGAAGGGGCTGATCATCTCCTTCAGTATCGTGGGTGTGAGCGTCAACAACGTCAATGCGCCTCTGTAAGCTTAATACACGGTGTTTCGACGCGTCTGCATATATATATATATATATATATATATATATATATATATATATATATATATGTTTCTACCAGTCATAAGATTTGACTCAGCACACGTGTATGCGCAGTCTTTGAAATCCAAGCCCGCGACCTTTGTGGTGATGCGACATAAACAAGCCAGATAGATGACAAAGCGTGTTGCTTTTATTTATCGTTGATTGTTCCCGGCTGTCACAGGTTGTTTCATGTGTAGTTTGCAGGAGGCAAAAGCGAGCCAACATACGATTATACCTGTACGGCTGTTGAATCGTGCAGACTGGGTTGCATCTATCCTTTACGTCATAGAATTTGATGAACGAATAATGTTCGAACCTAATAAGACGCCCTTTTGATGTCTAGCACGCACATTACTTCAGCTGACCAACGTAGCATTCTTCTACCGTCGGTACCTGCATGCATGTATGTATGTATGGGTCGGTAGGTTGCCATGACCAATAACTGTACATGTTGCGGACAATACAATGCTGATGGTACGTATGGGCGCACTTAACAATAAGAATATCTTTAAAGTTGTGCGATGCATCCACAGCAACTGCCTGCTGCGCCTGTGGCATCATTATGTATGTATGTAAATATGTATGTAACCTTCCTGGGTGTGTACTTTCCTTCCTTATTTTTGCAGAGCACTTCGTGCCAGTGTTGGTGATATACTACCTGGCAGCGCATCTCTAGTGCAATGGAAGCTAGCTGCTTCACTTCAGGTATGTATGTACGTATGTACGCGAGTAGTGCAGCAATGCTGGGCAAATAAATAAATAGTATTGCTTGCTTGTGGCTGCTGTCGGCTGCTGGTCCACGTAATAAGTAGTCGTCAAATCGAGGGGCAGGTACAGCTTGCCATCGTAAGACAACATGCATCATCATCATCGCTTTAACTGTTATTTATTACATTAGATTATATAAATATAAATAATATTCTATACAATTAATGCTGTTATTATGCATTCTTGTCTGATGATGGTGATTGTGAGGATGTACTTCACTACATAGCACGTAATTCGTTATGTTTGCTAGGGTCTGTTGCGCATGCATGTTGCATGCTCGTATGCTGGGCAGCACGCAGGAGTGCGTCCATCACTCCCCAGCCTCTTTGCTTGATTGCTCCATGATTTGTGTTTTACCAGCCAGTAGTGATTGTTACTCGTGGGCTGCTATCTATTTCCCCTCTGCAGGGATGGTTCACCGGAATTAACGCCACTTTCATCAGCCGCAACCCGCTAAATGATCCAACACTTTCCTCCATCGCCAGCCTTTCAATACACAACCTATTGCACATGGTGTACTTAGAAGGTCAGTGCGTGCAAGCAAGCTTGCTTGCTTAAAGGCAGCAGCCTGAGGAAGGACAGGTGTGCTACAGCTGCTGTCCAATAGTTATGCAATCTGGAGTCTGTAATATTTTGAGGAACGCCTAAACACCATCTATTCTCAGGTCTATCTATTACGCCATGGCACGGTCTGCATGTAGACCATTCGATGCCATGATTCTATTTTAGCTGCTAGGTATGCTGCTGCTGCTGCTGCTGCTGCTGCAGCAGCTGCTGTACATATGGATGTTATTGCTGCTGCTGGTGGTATGTCAGGATATTCCATAGAAAAACAGGTTCAATATTTTATACCTAATTTCGCAAAACTGCACTGGCGGTACATTGATTTGCGCAGCATATGTATTCATATAAATATAAATGCAATCGTTCAAGTGATTGATGATACATATCACCTTTAACCGTAGTACTATGTACGTGTGTACGTATGTATGTAAGAATAAGCTGAGGCGTGTGGTTGACCTGCTACGATAATTAATTAGCTAATTAGGGGAGATCGTAGTGGTGACAGGGAAGCTGTTGTATCCTGAAGGGCGTATCACGGGATTTGACATCCGCCGCCGATCGATGCTTTTCTTTTACAGTCGTGATACAACAGAAGCACCGGAAATATGGTTTATGTAATTTTCCATGTGGGGGTATACATCTGAGCTGTCGGTGATATGATAGCTAGGCGATTGATTACCAATGATCGTATCATCAACGAAGTGCACGGCCGAAGTGTACCTTTCCGTACCCTGCGTTATTGCAGGTGCTATGGACGACATGCTGCCGGACATGCTGGTGATCACCTCGGCCGGGAACGCGGCAGCCCAGGGCCTGCCCGACCAAGTCCATAGTAGCCGGGACGGCGCCGTGCTGCCGGTATCCGTCATCCCTGACGTTGCTGTGTCCGTTTCAATAAGCATTACCCCTGGCGAGGGTGTTACCGTCACCATACATGTTGATGGTCTCTTGCTAAACAATGCCATGGACATGTCCACCGGCGCTGCATTTTCTGCTGGTGCAAGCGGGACCAGTAATGCCGTAATAAGCGAGCTACGATACGTGCGTGTGCCCACTCCCGTAGTCCTGCAGCCAAGCACACGGTGGGTTCTTAGATCCGCCACCGCTGTCTCTCCAGCCACCAGAACCACGTTGTCCGCTAGCACACCGCAACCGAGCACGAAGGAGATTAAGGTGCCGTACAACGCCTGGACGTCGTACCAGTCGTACGGTGTCACGGCTCCCAAGCAGGACTTCATACACATCATTTTTGATGGTTTTAGCTCGTCTGAGGTAACCGAGATAATCCTGATCTTTACGGAGCCTGACACGCCGCCGCCTCCTGCATCCCCCTTGGCTCCGAGCCCACCTCCACCGTCGCCTCTACCGCCATCACCACCACCGAGCCCTCCTCTACCACCCAGCCCTCCAAGCCCGCCCCATCCATTATCGCCGAGTCCTTCCCCCCTTCAGCCGCAAATCCAGCCGCCAAGCCCTAACCCTCCGTCTCCGTTGCCACCCTCGCCTTCACCACCCAGCCCCGAACCATCCCCCCCACGGCCACCAAAGCCACCTTCACCGCCACCACCCTCACCACCATCACCGTCGCCACCAAAGCCACCCTCACCGCCACCGCCCTCACCACCATCACCGCCACCACCAAAGCCACCCTCACCGCCGCCACCCTCACCACCCTCACCGCCGCCACCTTCACCACCCTCGCCGCCGCCACCAAAGCCACCATCACCGCCGCCACCAAAGCCGCCCTCACCGCCACCACCCTCACCACCTTCACCGCCGTCACCCTTACCACCCTCACCGCCGCCACCAAGGCCACCCTCGCCGCCGCCACCAAAGCCACCCTCACCGCCGCCACCAAAGCCACCCTCACCGCCGCCACCAAAGCCACCGTCGCCGCCGCCACCAAAGCCACCCTCGCCGCCGCCACCAAAGCCACCCTCACCGCCGCCACCAAAGCCACCCTCACCGCCGCCACCAAAGCCACCCTCACCGCCGCCACCCTCACCACCATCACCGCCACCACCAAAGCCACCTTCACCGCCGCCACCAAAGCCACCGTCGCCGCCACCACCAAAGCCACCCTCACCGCCGCCACCAAGGCCACCCTCACCGCCACCACCAAAGCCACCCTCACCGCCGCCACCAAGGCCACCTTCACCGCCGCCACCAAAGCTACCGTCGCCGCCGCCACCAAAGCCACCCTCACCGCCGCCACCAAAGCCACCCTCACCGCCGCCACCCACACCGCTGCCTCCGCCGCCTTCTCCATCGCCTGTTGTTTCATCTGCTCGTCAATCACAAAAGGCTAGCTCGAGTGTTAGCGACTCAGAGGATGCGGCCAGCAGCGGCAACAGCGGACTAGTTCTAGTAAAGGAAGGAGAGCCAGCAGCGCTTTCTTCATCGGCTGTATCATCAACACCAGCACCAGCATCAACATCATCGGTACTGCCTGGCCCGCTGGCCACCAAGATTGGTAATGGCGTCGATGATGGAGAGGGAGCTTCTGCGGCACTTATTACCATACCCCCAGTGGAATCGGCTGGGTCGTCCCTGTCTTCTGCTCCAGCAGCTTCAGCCCCATCTGGGCTTGCCCCCGGTGGTTTACCTGTTGTAGTGATTGCCGTGTGCAGTGTTGTGGGTGTGGCTGTGGTGGCCGCTGTGGTTGGTGTGGTGGGCTGGCTAGGGCGGCGATCCCGACTACATCGTGCCCGGATAGCCCCAATGTAGCCAGGGTAGTGCATCGCATACATGGTGACCAACAAGTGCACCTAATAGATAAGGAAATTTACCGATGTTTGGTATGTCTTTTTGCACTGGTTTATGTCTTTTGGCACTGGCTAAGTAAAGGAACAGCACGATGGCTTCGTGGGGGATGCTTAGGCCAGCAGGGGAAATCAAACCCGAACTTCTCCATTTCCCCCCTTAATTCCCTTAATTTCCCCCCCACACCTCTTAGTTCAGGCTGAGGAGTCTTATTATTATATTGTTATTATTGTTATGCTTTGCATTAGGGAACATAATGATAGCAACACACGTTCGTATACGCTCATAGATAGATTGGTAAATGCAGGCATGTCCACGTGCGTCGGACACATTGCTTAAAGAACGAACACCATGGGAGACCGCTTGCGAGCTTTCGTAAGGGGGAGACGACAGCAGTCCGCAGTTTCTGCCGCAGTTTCTCTTCCCAACCCATAATGCATGCTCTTGGTTCACCGTTTTATCTGGCGCGGGCTTGCTGGTGCTGCGCATATCTGCCGTTAGTTTTATCTTTTGGGTTCGTCGTGACAACTAATGGCGGAGTGAAACCAGCAGCTTGAAGCACATATACACACAGGGGAATGAACTCATCACATCGCATGCAGCATTTTCACCAGGTCTGCTAGATGTACAAATTCAAATCATAAATCGGCATGTATCTTCGCACACTCATTGGCATCAGATGGCATCCTGCTTTCGCGAACAACTACTTATATCGCTAGCCGTCCCCAACACATGTATTGATGCGTGGTGCTTTGGGATGATGAAACTCACCTACTTATACTACTCTTCCAACAACCCGTGCTTCCTCAATGCATCCATTAATGAATATTCCGACGGTAGGTGGCCTCTTCGTTATTGGCTGGATGTGCTCTGCTATAGCGCTGCATATATCCCGTACGTGCTCTCCCTAGCTAATCGTGGCCGGACGTAGATCCTACCGCCACGCACCAGCTCCGTTGTATCTATGTCCGCATGACACAATGCACGGGGCCTTCGCTCATGCCATACATGCACGTGGAAAAGAAAAACATGCAATCCATTGTCAGCAGCTATTCAGGTGTCTGCAGCAGGAGGAAGGGCGCTAAGCTGCAAAGGTGTACTGCCGTTGCGTTTTGATCACGGCTTAAAACTGCGCCTCTGTGATATCTTTATTTCCCGCAACCTCAGCTGAATGAAGCTGCTTGCTAAAGATGCTCCTGCGCGCATTATTGCCTATAGCAAGCAGCATACATTTTAATATGCACAGCTGATGCGATAATCGGTAGTTTGTGCCCTCTGGCGCTGAAACGATGTATCACCCGCAGTTGGCTTATTACTTTGTGCGTCCGTGTTTTCTGATGCGTACATGTGAGCGATGGGTGGTAGTCGCGCAGAGGAAGAAAACAGGGCGCCATACATGGGCGGTCCAAAAAGACATCTTGCGAACTTGTATGCTTCATGCCTTTGCATATGCATGGTAATGGCGTACAAGTTAACTCCCCTGTTTATGCAACCGTATGTATTGAGCCAAAGTAACTTGTTGTATGTATGTATGTATGTATGTATGTCGCACTCTGATGATGGTAGGGTTCCATCTGATGCTCGTCCGTTGTCAAGGTCAATCACGCAAGCTCCACTTTTTTTATCATTTCGCGTAGTATACGACCCTTTAAGGTTTTACCTTGCAAGCACTATTGTATCCCAGCTGAGCCGTGCGTGTATGTGTAACGGTACGCAGCTAAATTGTGTGCATGTACGGTACATGGCTAGAGTATGTACGTATGTACGTAAATTGCATGTGCAAAATGCGTAATGAAGCCTATCACCACATCTCCCTTTGCTATTATCACACCTGCATTCCCATCGTCGCATCTGGCTTTGTTTTCTCCATAGAAAACTTACATACACACGCTTGGTGCAGGTCGGCAGGGTCATGCATATAGCATTACGTTGTCGACGTTGATCGTTACTAATCGTTCAGGTACGGGTGCACAACTTTGCTTTATTATTGGACGGTGGCTGGCAAGCATCAGAAGGCCGCCAGTCATAGATAAGAGTGGAGAATCACAATTGTCCCGCCAGAACATACCACCAGATATGTAAACCAGCACGTTCCCGCCAAGGTTGCACGCGGGAGTGAGTGCACTTCATGCCCCATCACCCTTCGCCACCTACTAGATGTGTATCCGAACGGGGGGCAGCACAGGCCCAACTGCGCAACAGCACACGGCCACGCTCATCCAGCTCACAGCAAACAGACAAGACCTAGGCACAGAGGAGCAAGCGCGCACGTACACGGATTTGAATGTAGGTTGTAAAAAAACAGTATAAATCAGCAGTATTAATGGATCATGTGCGTTTCCGTACAAAAACCTCGTTGTAAACCACCTACCCTCAACATCAGGAGCCTTCCCCTTTTCTTATTTCCCCTCCTATTCGATCTTATCTTTTACCCTCCTATTTACTCAGATGAGATCCAACCTCCAACCTGAGAGAAGCTTCTGGATGGGTAACCATCCACATAAGATGCAGCCACACATGCACTCAGCAGAAGTATATATTAGTAAGTATCTGCCAGAGAGATTCACCTAATCACACCTCCTATCCGGCCTACTCCATTACCACCCCCAAGCAAACACAGCCGCCGCCATTATCCGGTACATCAAAATAACAACCTGCTGGGTCCAAAAGTATGCCAGACCGACTGTTCCCTAAACCAACCCTCTGATCCCCAACCACTACCTCCCGCCGCTCATAATATCCTCCCACACCATGCACCCACGCATATGGCCCTGAGGCTGACATGGGCAGCGAGGGCGGGGACGCCGCCCTGAATGCAGCAGTTACTCATCACGCGCTCACGGCCGCCTCCAGCGCTGCTGCCCCGGAGAACTTCTCCAAGTAGCGCTGACGGGAGGCGTGCTCCTCCTGAGGCCGGTTGTACGGCGTCCATATGGGCGCACCGACGAAAAGCCGCATCGCCTGGGGCAAAGGTAGCAGCATTCGCGCAAAGACAGAGGGTTTTCACGCATACATCTGCACGCACATGTGCACATGTGCACACACACACACACACCGGCACACAGGAACAGCACAGCACTCCTCCCCGGGATTGAAGTACACGCCTTCAGTACACCGATCTAGTGACTACATTCTTCAGCACTTAACAACCCGCCTCGGGACCCCTTCCCTGTAGCCCCTAGCGCACCTTGGTATAGTTGTTGGTGTCGAGGGTGAAGCGGTGGTAGATGCCCTCCGGCAACACAATCAGATCACCCTTACGGCAGTCGATCCGGATCCAACGGTCTTCCAGATCCCGTACATCGAAGTAGCCTGAGGGGCGCGCAGGACAGGCAGTCAGGAGCATAAGAAACTGCCCGAGAAAAAAGAAAAAAGGAAGGTATTGCGGCCAAGTGACGCGCCAGACCAAGCTGTCATCACAAGCTGGCAGGCCGTCTCCTTTGTAACACGCGGCTCAGACCAGCCAACGGGAACGAAGCGCCCATTCAAGACCGCCGTGGGTGAAGCCGTGAGCAGTCAAGGGAAGATCCCGAATCCGATGGTCCTCCCGCGGGTGCTCCGTAGAAACATGCAGGCCAAGACACACACAACCCAACGGTCCAGGGAAAGTCCAAAAGTCCAAACATTCAAATGCGGCCAAGGAGGAACCCAGACGACATGGCCAAAAGGAAAGGCGGGATTCCCCAGACAACAGGGTCACAGGTAATTAAAGAAGCAGCAGAAGGAGCAGCAGAAGTGGAGCGCTGCTCATCAAGTGCACTCAATTCGACAGTAAAATCCCAAGGTATATTCCCGAGGCCAGGGCCCGGCGGCGACATCAGCCTTCGTATTGCGCGGGCAGTTGATAGCTCCGTGCTGGTCTGATGTTCTTGTGCGTGTGACGTCCTGTCGCACCACCACTGTCCTTTGCTAACACCACTGTCCTTTCCTAACACAGACAGGGCCTTCCCGTTGAGGCAGGCATCCGGCACTGCCCATTGCCATAGCCGGTAGCTGCATTTGGCTGGTGTCCAACTCGTGCCGGTTGCCTGTGTGTGTGTGTGTGTGTGTGTTATAAATTCTGAGCCGCGAGACCGGAAAAGGCCGAAGTAGGAGAAATGGCCGAAATATAACCCTGCATGGGCTTTATGTCAGGCAGCCTAAAAGTACATGCCTGTCCATCTTCCATGGCTTGGAGCTCGCAAATCTTGCAGGTCCTCCTCGCGCGCGATCCAAAACACCCCGTTTGCTTCTAGCAACATGGACGAAATGCATTACACACGTGCACAGCACATACATACTAACAGACAGACACTAAGATGCATAGCTAATATACAATCAACCATTTCCCAATAGCAATCAGTTCCCAGTAGCAGTAACCCACCTGAGCCATCTAACACGTAGCGAATCTCGTCATCGGAGTGAATGTGCTCCTCGTAAAACATCTTGATTTTCTCATCGTAGTTTGGAAGCGTGGTGGGGGAGATGTTAACAATTTCCTGTGTTTGTCGCAGCAGCAGCAGCAGCAGCAGCAGCAGTACCAGTAGCAGCAACGGCAAAAGAGAAACTTCATCGTGGCGCTCGGAGCGCAACACTGTTCGACGATGTGCTTGAAAGGGAGGAGTAGAGTAGAGTAGATCTTATTCGCGACACCTAGCTGTCGCAAGCCCGGTGGATGCGAAAGCTGGACCCCCCTGCTGCTGTGCACACACGCGCGTCACCTAAGAAACATGAACCATGAAACAACACAACACCGCCCTAGGCACAGCGGAGCCGAGCCCTCGTCAAAGCAATTGACAGCACCGGTGATAAGGCTGCAACGCTGAAAATCTTCTTTACGCTCTCTTCAACAACATTTTGATGTCATGCAACACACACGACGTCCGGTAGTACAGTCCTCAGCAGCCAGAAGCAAGCCTTCTTCCCCCCCCTGAAGTGGAGGAGGTGAAGCCCTGTCGGCAGCACGCCTGCAATTAAACAATATCCACTTGCCGACGTGTAGACGTACCATGTACGAATAGTTGTGCACTTTCCGGATGGCAGCCAGCCTCGGATCCGTCTCGTACTTGTCAGCGTCCAACCGCCAGTATAGGACACCTAGCTCCCGAAGCTTGGACAGTGGGCAGGGTTCATTGGGACTCCGCCTGTTCACATCGGACCGAATCCGGATCATTGTTACTGGTTGTCCGACCTAGGCCGTTAGCGGCAACAAATAGGGTTGGGGTCGTGTTCGGACAACGAGACGCATATCAGGGGACGTCCTCGAGGCCAAGACACTGGTTGCGGTGGCTCCTCCTTGCTTGTCCAGGTCAGTTACGGTAGGCCATGGTCAACAGTGCCTTGGTCGAACAGGAGAGCACCGGCTATGACCGCGGTGTTCAAACTTGTATGACGACAAGGGTGGATGACGCGCTCTTTGAGGCTTTACTATTTCAGCAGCAGCTGCTCATCTGAGACGTTACCGCCTGCTCACCGATGGGGAAGTCGCTGATCTTCGGAGGAGTCATCCATGTACCACGCATCGATCGCGGCGGACTCAGGTGGATCCGGCTGTGGAAAGAAAATGAAGATTGCAGCTGTTGACGTTTCACATAATTGAGTTTTTCAACTTTCCGGGACCAAGACTTTGCTTGTCTCGAGGACACGCCGCCTATCAATCAATTACAGCTGCACCGTTTACAAGACTTGCGAAAATAGGATATACCTGTGCAAGCGCAAGCTCCTCTTGTGTGGGCTCAGACGCCATTTAACTAATTAGCGAACTCTAGCAGCAGACAAACACCTTGGTGACGCAAATAACTAGTGGCTTTTAAACTGTAATATACTTGGCTCGATATTGATGCTCAGCAACTCCAAGAGAGTTTAGGGGCATTCATCATCATCGTATCGTATATGCTACATGTTGTACTGACCGTTGGCCAGCAACATGTGTTTCCCCCAAACGGCTCCGTCAGGGGCCGCACATAGGGTCCATTAGATTCTGAGCTAACCTGAAATAAACTATTCCCGTATGTCTCCTTCCGCACTCTATATATTTGCACCAGTAAGCTTCCCAGCTTCGTCGCTTCAACCGACCCTCATAACGTTGCGCATATCTACATCCTAAGGAAAACCAACTGCTCGCCTTAGCGGCTCGTAAGCAGGACATTCCATCAGGACGTGTAGCTCGCCTTCTACCTGGAACCCTCCACAAAGCCGGCATGTTCGTTCCTCCCATGGCTTACGGCCCGGTTGGCGTGCGAACCGTGACACATCTAGATCCCGCTTGCCAAGGCGAAAACGCATCAGGGTGGTGTGGACTGCCCTCGGCATACTCCTCTTTAGATGCCCAAATTTTGACTTGTGATCCTCTGGCGAGTATTTGCTCCCATCCACATTTTATAGCGGCAGGCGGTGACGCCTGTTCTGTCCAAGTTCTCGCCCATCCCCGTATACTCAGGGAAGACCCTGGGATCCACTGCAATCTCCGGCCGTTCCCAATCCGCCAACAAGCTTCTTCGACATTCCGTAAGGAGCGCATCGACTGGGAGCTCCCGTCCCACAATCGTCCGTGCCTTCTCTGTGTTGCTATGTCCCTCGCGTAAGTTTGGCCTGCAATCAAAGCCAAGATAGCGGGAGACTTCGAGCACCTTCCCTGCCCAGAAGTGCCCATGCGGTCGCCCTGCTTCAAGCCATGCCTCGATCTTCCCCTCCAACAAGGCCCTCCAACAGGCGTTGCGGTCTGCTTACTGACTCATCAGCTGGGCTCAGCCGTACTCGTACTCCCCTGCCGCAATCCAAGTCTTCCACGTGGCCTTGCCGGCACGTCTGCACCTTTACATCCTTTATAAAAGTCCTATGAGGTATACCATGAGACCGCCACCGACCGGGCAAAAACTTGCGTATCCATGTGGCTCCTGAGTCCTGACTCGCTAAGTGCAGAACTCAGCCTCCGAGGGGATATCTACCAGTCATGTGAACATTTGCGGGGATTATGTTGTTTGCGAGAGACTCCATGTTTTGGCTTCAATCATCATTAGGGCAACTGGCAACGGAAAAACAACGAACTCTGGGTTGGTCGGGTTGATCGGACACCAAAGCATTGGAAACATCATTTTACATTATTATCGTAATGCCAGGTTGATTTTGAGAAGGCGTTTACAAGGTTTCTCCAGGGTTGCTGTGAATGCGGCTTGAAGAGAGAGGCGACGCAAGACTCGGTGAAGGCTTGGTATCGAGATCAGGGTCAATGGTAACTGAGTGCGGGGGGAGGTCTTTTCCTCATTTGAAGCAGGGTTACCCAATAAGCCCAACGCTGCGTGGCATTTTGGGGGAAGGCTTCGCTTCAGATGATGTAGAGGCCAAAGACCGCCCTATTGCACGGGACGCAATGACGGCTAAGGAATCCTTAGTAAGGATTACCCCTTGAGCGATGGGACACGTAACCCCCACACTCAAAAAATACGAAAATGACCTGAGCCAATATCTGGGACTATATTGACGGGATAAATCTTGATGTTAAAAAAGACAGTTACAGGTGGAGTCGCCTAATTCCGAACAGGGGGTAATTCCGAACAGGGCTACTTTGAGCACATAACGAAAGAGATAGCGATCGCGCGCTTATATTCTTAAAGTATATGATTTTTGAAGTGTTCTATGGCCGGCGGACCGTTAGTTTCAGGTCGCTGTGGTTCCGGTGCCCAATCTTGCATGGAGCAGAGGGTTGCAGAGATGGGGGATTGGGGGCAGGTACTGGTCAGGCGGGATGGGGAATAGGGTTGACGACTTCAGGATGGGATGTGGGGCCCAAGGCGAGGATTAGGGATTAGGCGTGCTACACTACTTTTGGGATGGGGATTGCTGTCGGGGGTGAGGATGGGGATGGGATCCCTGTCTGAGGGATGGGGATTGCAACCTTGACCAAGGAGGGGATTGGGAGCCCTGGCCAGGGATGGGGATGGGACCCTGGTCGACAGGATGGGGATTGCAGGCTTTCGCAAGTTTAGGATGAGGTCGCTGCCATAGGATTGGGAACACAGTTGGAGGATTAGAATTGGGTGTTCTGCTGTAAAATGAGGCTGCAGGTGCAGAACTTGGAATACTGACAGGACTGCAAAACAGGCCAAGGATGGATGGTTTAGTGTCCATAGTGGCTACATGGAAACTCAAACAAACCCAAGGAGGTTCTGCTTGCAAGTCGCGTCCCATAGCAAACCAAACTCCAAGCACAAGGAAGTTCTGCTTGCAAGTTGCGTCCCATAGCAAACCAAACTCAAACACAAGGAAGTTCTGCTTGCAAGTCGCGTCCCATAGCAAACCAAACTCAAACACAAGGAAGTCCTGCTTGCAAGTCGCGTCCCATAGCAAACCAAACTCAAACACAAGGAAGTCCTGCATATAAGGCGCGTCCCATAGCAAAACAAACTCAAACACAAGGAAGTTCTGCTTGCAAGTCGCGTCCCATAGCTAACCAAACTCAAACACAAGGAGGTTCTGCTTGCAAGTCGCGTCCCATAGCAAACCAAACTCAAACACAAGGAGGTTCTGCTTGCAAGTCGCGTCCCATAGCAAACCAAACTCAAACACAAGGAGGTTCTGCTTATAAGTCGCGTCCCATAGCTAACCAAACTCAAACACAAGGAGGTTCTGCTTGCAAGTCGCGTCCCATAGCAAACCAAACTCAAACACAAGGAAGTTCTGCTTATAAGTCGCGTCCCATAGCTAACCAAACTCAAACACAAGGAAATTCTGCTTATAAGTCGCGTCCCATAGCAAACCAAACTCAAACACAAGGAAATTCTGCTTATAAGTCGCGTCCCATAGCAAACCAAACTCAAACACAAGGAAGTTCTGCTTGCAAGTCGCGTCCCATAGCAAACCAAAACACAGGTTTAATTATATGCATGATCACATCAATTTTGCTATCGTGCATGATTAAGGCCCAGCATGCGTTTGACCATATTTTAAGGGTACACGTGTCCCAATTTGGTTCTTGGTGCCTCCTGCTGGTACTTGGTGGTTCCTGGCAAGCCAAGTAACACTGTCTCAGCAGTGCGTGTGAGCAAGTTTGCACACACTGCTCATACTAACATATGCGTCTGGTGGAACATGGGTGGTGGCCTAACAAAGTTAGTTGGGCACGGCCCAGAAACTCGCTATAGAGCTGTAATTTGAGAGGTTAAGCTTAGCTGCCGTACAGTGGTGCGGAAGTGCCGTATTGAAGTGCCGCACAGCGGTGTGCATCTGTTGTGCAACCTTCCTGCGAAGTTTTACGGGTGTCCTATGTGTAATGTACAAGAGTCCATTTTTCATACCTAATGGCCAGCCCAGCCTGGCTAAGAGTTACACCCGACTCAAACAGGTTGAGACACGTTACAGGATTGGGAAGTTAACCGCAACTGTGTATACGTGAGGATTAGTTATGCAGCTGGCATCTCAGGATAAGGATTGTGACACCAGCTCAAGGGATGGGGATGGGACCCTGGCTGACACCTTTCGGATCTGAACACAGCTGCAGGATGGGGATGGCCCTGGTCGAAGGGATTGGGAAGGGACCCTGGCTGGCAGGATGAGGATTGGGGGAACACAGCTGCAGGATGGGATTGGAAAACCCGACCATAGGATTGGGGATGGGACCCAGGCCGGCAGGATGGGAAACCTGTCTCAAGGGATGGGATTAGCACCGGGCCCCTGAGATGGGAGATGGGAGTCGGTCACCCCAGCCAGGATGGGGGGATGGCTGACCGCTACCACCCCCCGGGATTGGGGGATTAGACCGTTTTTGCAACCCTCTGCATGGAGACCCTGATTCACGAGGCACGAATACCACAAGGCGACAGAAGTACCAAAGAACCATCAGAGCATATTGAGATATATTAAAAGTATCCAGAGAGGCCTGTGATCAGCGCTATTTATTAGATTTCGCTCGTCCGTCGTCAAGTTTCGCGGAACCTTGCGAAGGCCGGCACGGCGACTAGAAACAGACGCAACACCCCATTCTTCAACATCCAACAGCTGTTCTTTGTTTATGCATATGTTTTAGAGATTTTCAGACGGCCAAAATGGGCAAAAACAAGCGCAAGGTCCCTCCACCATCAGAGTCCGCTCCTCCAACACAGCGCAAGAAGCAAAAGCAGCAGCGCGGGCCGCGCTGGACCCAAAAAGATCTCGAGGACGCCCTTCACACCTATGAGCACACGCGGGGGTGTTCGGGGCCGGGGACGCGGCCGGGGGCGCGACAGGGGGCACACCCGTGGAGAGCGTGCATCCCAGCCGGCCAGCCCAGTCCCGGTGCTGCCCTGTATATTGGACCAGGCACGTAGTTTGCGCCATGATGTGGTAGCCATCCAGGAGGAAGTGCTCACCCGTGTTGGCATCCCGCATGCTCCAATTGCTGGTCCACAGACCACAGGTGAGCCAAAGGAACGATGCTGAAACCCTCTCTCAACGCTTTTGTCTGTTGTTCTGCAAGTACAGGGCCAGTCTGCGATGGGCCAGCATGGTCCCAGACGCTGGGACGGACGGGACCTACCATTCGCGCTTTAGCAGGGAGCATCGGATTGGCCCCGAGAGTAGGAGGGAGGCGAACGGGCAACTCATCGGCATGTTGGCATTTACCATCCTTATCTTGCTCAGAAGCTGAAACTGTTCCTCGTACCAACTGTTTACATAATAAAGGATTCGTGCTGTTAATGGTGTGAAGTGCATCGAAAAGTTTGCAACCTACCAGCGTGGAGATCAAGCGTTAGTCAGAGAGGCAGGACAGAGAGCTGGCAGGGAAGTGTGTGAGATCAGGACACTATCAGGAGAGGTAAATCCCCAAAGCTTTAATGACTAGTCCAGGCCAAATCAGGCATTCATAGGGATGTCACAGAAGCTTGCCTCGCAGGGCTGCAACGTGCGGCCCTGCCTGGCGGATAGTGACGGAACACGACTTAACCTGTAGCTGAGGGCAAGCTAAAGACCTTGAAGGAGAAACCACCTGCAAATTTAATCACTTCTGTATGCACTTCATGTTTTAGGCAAGCTGCAATCGTCCGCGCTGGCTGACATTAAAATGTTCTCCCCAAACCCGCTCAGCTTGCGGATGTGCTTCATCGCAGAGGATTACATGATGAAACCAAAACCATTTCAGCGTATAGGACGACGACGAACATTGTCACCGAATCCACATAGTGCACGAGATTTGGTGTCTGGACATGTACGAACGTTACTAATATTGTTATGTGCCCCTTCTTGGCTACTGTGGACTGCATCGTGTATACCCAAGCTGAAATGTGTACCATTTTACCGCATATGAATGTTATAGAGGCCTAATGATGACAACCAAAAATCTGGCGCTCCTGCTCGGCGCCCTTGACATTTGCTGCTCTGTAGCACTAGGATTAATTCCAATCCCACCGCTCTCCTTAAAGGAGAGTGGTGGCGGTGTTGTCCTTGAAGGCCAGGGACCAGAAACCGTGTGGGACGCGAGTTTACAGCCCCTTACAGCAGACCCGACAGGTTCGTCAACGTAGAATATGTTGAAGATGTCAAATTAATTTCCATTTAGCCTGCTCGTTTGGAGTATTGGTGCCGGCGTGGGTTATGGTACAGTCACAAATGCCTGAATGATTGTTTTCGCACGGGTTTCAAATGTATATGCTTCCTACTTGCAGCTGCGAACGTGACACTTCGGCGGGCAACGCTGCGAAATGCATTACTAGTTGCGCCCACGTCGACAGTCCCAATTGCTCTGGTGACAAATGGCGCCTATGTGGGACCCTGGTTCTTAGAGGACCTGACAATATACGTGTCTTCGTGCAACGATTTTGAGGTGTTCGCGAACATGACCTGCGACTTGCAGCCTGCAGCATGGATACGGGTGAGGAGGGCTTTGCCAATAGGCAGACGACGATGCAACTTGTAGCGTTTATGTATAAAAGATAAGGTAACAGTTTCCGGCCAAAACTGTGCTCATGCTTGCGATGACACATTTCCGACGGTTGGCCTCGGCCTACCTTTTTTGTTCTCTTCGGGGCATGCAAACCCGCGCAGCTGAGCTTAGCCACACATGTTTTGGCGCTGAACGTTTGCTTTGCAGTCAAATGGCTGGTCTGTCACCGTTGGCTTCTTCTCCGGGGGCGGCTTCACATCCTCCAACGTCACAATTGCCTGCGATCCCACCACGTCATTCAACGTATCCGCCACCGCTGGCGCCGCCACAACATTTCCCAACAGCAGCTCCACGGCTGCAGCGCGGCCTCCCGCGTGCGTTACTCTTACGGCCGGCTCTCCTGACGAGCTATTATCCATCCTGTCGTACACTGCCGTACATCCAAGTGGTAATGGCAGCATCGTCTTCCCACCAGCTCCCTCTCGCCTTCATGTAACGCTCACAGCCAACGTCAGTCTCGACCCGAAAGCCTGGCTTGCGAGGCGTCCCGTCCTCACGCGCCCGTTGACCACCATTTCTAGCGTTGATTGCCGCCTCCTCACCGCCATCAACCTGAACGGGGGTATCTCGCTCATATCCGTCGAAGGCGGTGCTGTTCTGCGACTTCTCTGCTTGGAACTGTCCAACCTAGCTACGGACACCCTTGGCAAGAACATGCCTCGGTCCCTGCTAACAGCCGCTGTGTGGGCGGTGGATGTTGACATCCCCAAACGGTGCGTGTGAGCTACATCAATGCATGCGATGCCTATCTGTCTGTCTGCCTATCTGTCTGTCTGCCTATCTGTCTGTCTGTCTGTCTGTCTGCCTAAAGACAGAGACGTAACGAAACATGATGCCAGCGATGGTCGCCCTCCCTAACATGCACGCGGCATGATACACGCCTACGTAGCTTTTCATCCACAGCGGGCTTGGGCCGATAGATGCCTGTTTCTCACCCCCAAGTGCATTTCGTTACTCCTGACATCGCATATGGCACCGTTGCTGACTGTTGGTGGTTATGGCGGTTAAAGTGGTTGAGGTAGTTACACTGCGCGCGGTTGTGATCTCGCTGCCCCAGATCCCGGCTAATTTTGGAGAATACCACTTTGGTGCTAACCAAGGACGAGTTTAAGTGGCAGGTGAGTGGGTTCGAGGGTGGCCGTACAACTACAGGGGGGGTGGAATGGGGTGGCGAGAAATGGGGTGGAGGCTGGAGGTGGGGCCTCGATGAAGAGTCGGTTCAAGTGGCAAGGGGCATTTCGGGGTATGCGCATGCGCGGGGGAGAGGAGGATTTTGGAGTGAGGGGAGTTGTACGAGGGATGGGGAGGGCGGGAGGGAGGGCGGGGGGGAGGTAAAGAGGAGATGATATTGCAGCTTGCAGAGATGGGTGCAATGGACCCAGCGAAGGGGACACCCGCCGCCGACGGCGATGTACATCATGGAGGCGTCCAAATGTGGTGAAGCTCGGTCCATCTGTCTGTCTGTCCGTCTGTTGTGGGAATATGCTTGAGTGCTTAGACTCTTGCCGACTCCCTCCTCATTCCCATGTCCATTGCCTGTACTGTACGACATCTGCTATACGACAGTCGTACTACATGGCGCAAGCGCTGACGAACAGCGCTGTGTACGGCAACATTACTACCGTCCTGGCGTCCTTTCAGGTGTGTTATCGAACCGGGCTGGTGCCGTACTGCTACTGCTCCCATGGTTGTGTAATTGCCACTGCTACCGCCGCTGCGCTGCAGTACGGCACCCTTGCTACATCCTTTTCCCGCTGTCGCCGTAAATGCTACCAGCACCGTCATCGTCGCCGCCGCTGGCGTACCCCCCCCCTCATGCCGCCTACGCAGCAACCCCCTACCCCGACACAAGGCTCCCCCCCTTGGGTTCCCCGCCTGCTCATGCCGCCTGCTCACTTGCTCCTCCACCTTCCCATCCCATTCCACTGTCCCCTTTCCAAAAAAGCCCCATCCTCAACCCGCAACGCCACTCTCCCTATAGCCATAAAAACCCTAAAACCCCAACTCCATTCTCCCCCCCCCAACACGTCATATGCCCGCTCCAGGAGGAGCTACCTTCTCGTCTAAAACAACCCCATTTTTCTCCTCCCAACTCCCTTCTCCCCCCCCCTCACCCCTCCCTCGTTTGTGGTTCGTCTGTCCCCCCTCACCCCCGTTCAAACAGGGTATCGCCCTGCCCTCCCAGCTCCTGTGGGTGAAGGTCGCCTCGCCCCACACGCTGTGGCTGAACGCCATTCTCACCATCGTACCGCACGTGTACAACACGACGGTGCCTAACAGCTTCATCATGCGCTACCTGGGACTATCTATTTACTTGACGGTGCGTCGTACGCTCGATGTCGTGTGTGTCGTACGCTCGAACATGTGAAGGCGTATATGCTCGAACTATAATGCTCGAACTATAATGCTCAAGCATATGAAGGCGCGCCCTCCTGTCTTTTTGGCCTCCTTGACATCGGGAGTGCGGGTGCGGATGACGGCTGTTCGAAAGGGGGCCCAAGAGCTCGGCAGGAGAGCGCGGGGGATAAGCGTTTGTGTGTGAAGAGCTGGGGGTTTTGTTGGTCATGAGCGGGGGAACATTACCCCACCCCGAGAGATATGTATTGCCTACCTTCCTTTCTTTGCCCTTGCCGGCCCCCCACCCGTCCACCCCACACCTTGCAGGATCTCCTAATGGTGTATTCGTGTAACGACCTTTTGAATGCCGTACGAAACTGCTCAGTCGCCAACGGCTGCGTCGCCGCCACTGGCGGCGGCGTCGTGCCGGCGCCTTCGCCGAGGGTTCTCGTACTGGGTGCCAACATTAGCATAGGGCCCTGCTGGCCTCCGGGGGGTGTTTCGGTGGCTTTCCCGGGCTCCTCGCTCATGGTGATGGGGTTGCCTGATGTGGCAACCACCCTGGACCTGGCGGGGCGGTCGGACGTATTCGACTTGGTGGGTTTTGTGTATGTGTGTGTGTCTGTGTTTTATGTGTGTTTTGTGTGTATGTGTGTTTTACGCATTCCTCAGTGCATTTTTGCCCGTGTCCAAAATTAGACAGGAGTGTGTTTCGTCGTACAGTGTAACCTCCCTGGAACGAGCTTCAGTACGACTTAGGTCTTCATACACCTCCTCCTCGTCCTCTCCCCTCTCCCTCTCCAAACACCCTCTTCTCTGTGTCTCTCGCCTCGCGCCCTACCGTTCGCGCCGTCAGGCAACGGGGACTTCGATGTCCATAAAATTCCTGACACTGCTGGGTTTGGGGATGCACGGCGAGCCCGACCAAGATGACGTCGGGGTTTCGCCGGCGGGTAC